CCGCAAACTCCAACGCAGCCACTTACACACTTAGGAAAGTTCACTTCTCAACTTCAAAAACAGTCTCTTCACTGCGGTTCAAATTCACATTTACATTACATCATAATTATCTACATTTCCCATTTACCCCTATCTGTGTGCTATGGTCGAGGTGTTTTCGATGACACGCGATATTTTTGCTCCACGTTGGCCATCTGCATTGTCAAGCGACTCTTGGAGAATGCGTCCCGCTTTTTTTACTTCATCTAGTCAAGGATGATGAGTTTCAAAACTGCACATGGGTATCATTCCATTTTCCTGTGGGCGGTGATGGCATGCACGGGTCTAAGGTGCCCAATACGTGTTGACAAATCTCCATGACTCCGTGAGTGAGCATTAGATGTACTGTGAAACTCTCCTTATCTGGACGCCCGTTGTCGGAGCACGTCCGTTTACCAGGCGCCTTTCTGACCCGTCTTACCGTCTAGACTAGAGTCACAGAACAGTATTATTGGTTTTTCAACGAAAACTGTTTCGGGCAAATCCTAGTTTCGGGCAATTCCTAGTTTCGGGCAATTCCTAGTTTCGGGCAATTCCTAGTTTCGGGCAATTCCTAGTTTCGGGCAAGGCTCAGTTCCAACTTGCCTAGATTAACAACAGGCATGGGCATGGGGGACCTAGGCTACAGTGTACATGTACTTCGAAGTAGGCATAACCATGCAGATATGACTGAGTGGTTCTTGACCATTAAACACACGAGAAAATAGGTAATGGTCTCTGTTGTTCTGCCTTGTGTGTATCTGACTGCATCATCCGATCGCAGGCGCAATGCTGATGAGCCACATGACAATCACATGACTGCAGTGTTGCACTCTACGATTCCGTGGTCACCTGGTCACCATGGTCACTACCAAGTGTAGCATCATCGTCCTTTACAGGCTGATGTATAAATAATTAATTTTGTACTTGATGTAAGTAATCATGGTAATCATGGTAAGGCCAAGTAAAAAAAAAAGCTAGATGATCGTCCCCGTCCGCCCCAGTTTTTGTCAGCGCCCCAAGAAATATTTTATTTTTTAAATCGTGAGTTTTTGCCGAAATCGTTGGTTTTTTACCGATCGCGGATGCAGGAAACATGTGCACGCTTTGTTTAATACTTTCTTTACTATATGGACCACATACTACTAGTATATCACAACGTCAGTATCGATCTGCTGAAGAAAGAAAAAGAAAAAAAGAAAAAAAAAGAAAAAAAGAGAAAAAAAACCTTGATGTTGTTGTGTACACTGTGTGCATGAGAGGGTAAAAAGTAAAAAAATAAAAATAAAATCCTCCCGCCCTCCCCGATTTTTCCAAAAAAAAGGACGATCATCTAGTAATTTTTTTTACTCGGCCTAATAAAATAATAGTTAGTTTACTTGTAGGCTAGCTGTAGAGAGTGTAGTGTAGATCTACCGGTACTCGGTAGCTATCGCCGTACCGGCAAATGAAGCCTGCAACCATCAAGCTGACAAGCATGACCATGACGGCATGAGGACAAGGCACAGACTACATCCCGAGTGGAGGAAGATTTCAATGTGTAGACGACGTACCCGTTCCGATGCAAGGACAGAGTCACCATGGTCACTCAGAGGTGATGTTTTCACCATGGCCTCTGCATAAAGAACACAGTATCGATATCGTGTTATGTTGGTATGAGCCAAGAAATTATTTAGATAAATAGTGGGTGTCTGTCAGTGTCTTATCCTCTTCGAACCTCTCAATAACCGGAATCTGGGTCCACCATTCGCCCTCAGCCTGCAGCAATGGGGTATCGCGTTCAGGTTGTTGTGCTCTTGTTCACAGTTGTGCAGAGACAATTAGCACTAGAACTAGCGGCATCGCCTGCGCCGAATGACTGGAAACCCGTGTCGTACTTCACTCATGGCTGGGATTGTGTTGCGTGCGAGAACAATTCCATGTTGGCCGGAAACTTCGGCCATGTGAGCAGCGATGGATTCAATGTGAGCAACACTTGGTGGGCGAAGGAGGTAGCTTCGCGGTATGCCGCAGTCAGTATCAACTCTTGGATGGATTCCCATCACTACAATGGGACTGGAGTGAACGGCATGGTTCAAATCGCTCGGGCGCTGAGGGCAGCAAGTCCCACCATCAAATATTAATTGCTCTACTATCAAGCTATGGATCGAGGTGACCTCGCTCCGTATGGATCTGAAATTATTCGTGCGCACAAAGACTGGTGGCTGAAAAACGACAACGGAGAAGTTATTTGGTTCAACAAGGAGAAGACAAATCCGGTAATGGACCTACGTGTGAAGGAAGCTCAAGTCTGGTTCGTTAACCTGACGTTATCCTATTTCAGCGGTCCAGAAGAAGCCAAGGATTTGTGCGATGGTCTGTTTTTTGATTCGGCAGCATACCATAATAAATATGAGAAGCACGGTTTGTCGGACAAGAGCTATGATGAATTGTTCCTGGGCAGAATGGAGACGATGCGCATGGCACAGCAGCTGTTCACAAAGATGAATAAGGGAGAGGTGTGGGGTAACCCGTCGTTACCTATTTGGAGACCACCTCCTGACTCCTACCATGGGGCACCATGGAATTTCTATCTGCAGTATTTCCGAATGGTGCGTTCGATCCATGGTTCGGTAGTTTTGCGGTGATAAACAAAGATGGCAGCTGGAACGTGACAATGATGGAGCGCACATTTGAAACGGTGATCAACGCCAGCAATGCTGGCCACTCCATGATACTGCACGCATTCCCAGGTCCAGCAACCTCACCATTCACAAAAATAGGAGATGGGAAGAACGTGTTCAGGGTCCCCACTTGGTACGGTGACACACCAGTGCCCAAAGACCCAGCAGCAGTGAGACAATCCGCTGCTGATCTTCTCGTTCAGTCTCTAGCTCCGTTCCTCATTGTTGCCAATGAAAGAGTATTCTTCAGCTATGGATGGTTTTGGAATATCGAAGATGGCTACATCCCGTGTCCTGAAAACATTGAGTGTGGCATGCCATCGACTTGGTACAAGGAATTCAGCCAGCCATTGGGAAATCCCAAAGGTGCGGCTGTTCGCAATGGCACAATTTGGACGCGTCAGTTTGAACATGCCAGTGTCTATGTGGATCTAGCCGATCGTACAAAATCCCGTATTGACTGGTCGTGATTTCATGGACCGCATTGTCCTGTAACGTTATTGCCAATTTCATCAACAACCAGGTGGAAGGTAGGCAAGCACATATACCTCACACGCACCCTATTTCATATTTCTCATTCACTCACTGTATAAAACTTAGCCTATCCCGTGCTGCCAAATAATTTTCGCTCAAAATCTGACACCCCTTACCGCCAATTGGCCAAGGCTGGCCACATGGTGCAATTTTCTTCTCAGCAATTTTTTTCCAGAGAATTCAAAATATCGTCCAAAATACCAAGAAAATTCGCTTCGTTGCCATCGTACTGCGTAAGTAGCCGATATGGCGCCCCGAGGTTGTCATGAATTTTGTAATGCATGATGTGGTCACATACTGTACAGTTTACATACCATCCAGGTGTGTTGCTTTGCACTTCCGGGCCAGTCTAGCGCTGGCCTTTTTAGTTTTTACAATGTAGAAGCAGATGTACAGTGGTTTGTGCTGAAACGTGAAAACACAGGACTTCTGCATAGGAAAGTACTGGTCCCTAACATTTTTGGCTGCTTTTCGAACGTATCCCTGTTCGGACCGGTTTTCGGAAGAGCCTTCAAAATCGGATGGTTTGCATATCATTGTACTACTAGCGTATTTCCTCGATTAATAGACCCGGTCTTTTGTTTTTTGAAGAGGGTTGGACCCCTCTTATCTTATTTGGGCATGGTCCATTATTTGAGCACGGTGACGGTCCACTATATTTTCATCGGCACATCGCTGGAAATGGTGGATTTTTAACACGTCATAATATAAAACTTCTACATTATGACGTGTTAAAAATCCACCATTCCAGCGATGTGCCGATGAAAATAATTATAGTGGACCGTGCTCAAAATAATAATGCGATGTGCATGTACATGCATGTGTTGATGAAAATATAGTGGACCATGCTCAAATAATGAAAGAAAGCACTAGCCACTACAAAAATTGTAGTTGCGCAACCTAAAATCGCGTCCTTTTTTTGATCCACCACGTGCTTTCTTAGTGCACATGCACAAAGCGATGAACACAAATAAGAGACCGGGTTTCTTATTCGGGCATGGTCTAGTATTTTTCCGTGTGGCCTCTAGGAGGGTCTACTATTTGAGCATGGTCTACTATTTGAGCATTGTCCATTAACCGAGGAAATACGGTGCTTGAAGTAGTTCCAGTCCACCTTCCTGGTTTTCTCTGATTCAGATTATTCTCTGATTATTTTTGTTACCCAAAAAAGTCTTTTCTTATTACAATGATCCTTTGGTGAATAGTGAATACGCATGAAAGATTTAAAATCTTGTAGGACGCATCACGCAGCATGAAAGATTTAAATTAATTTACTGAACCTAGTGAGTGCTGAAATGCGGCCCATGGTTGACCATGACGGCTTCTGAAGAACGCATCACTCTCGCAGGCTGTGGCCATTTCACTGAGTGCGTTATGCCGGTAATCGTCTGGTGTGCCTTTTTCAGATAGTGAAAGGCTGTCGGAGCACTCCTCTGCTGCCTTTCTGGTTGTGGCCCATGCTGGAAAAGAGAGAATTAGTGGTCGATTTCATAATGCTCCAGGCTAGATTGATGTGAACGCTGTGGGAAATGGATATGGTTTGTGGATTTATTATTATTATTATGAAGAATGGGGCGAGGCTGGTGTGAAGACTATTTGCCTACCCCATGTGCACCAAAGTCACATCTGCTGATAGTATTCGTCTCTGGCTGTACCGAAAGCCAGGGTTTAGCAAACCCATGTAGATGGATGTCACATTATTGCTCCACTATCCTCAAGAATTAAATCTTTGGTGCATGAACATTGTTTTTTGGTGGTGGGGGGGGGGGGGGGGGGGATAAAAACTTGATGAATACTAATGGCAATGAAGAGAGCATGGGAAGAGGAGGAGATTTATATCGTTTAGCAACTTACGATGGGCTGGCCATGACACATGCATTATTTTAATATCGATCACTGTGCAGTGTCAGATGAAAGACAACTCACCAGTAAAGCAAGGCTTGGAATAAATTATAATATCACTCCTACAAATGGTGATACCACTCCTACACATTAAATTTGGTACAGGCTGGCAAGGTGGTATTTCGCGGAGCGGTAATAGTACTGCACTCCTATCAATAATGGCTGTTTTTGAAGAACTGGACGGTTTTCAGTGGAACTAGTTTTCAGCGTCATGCATTTAAAAATAAGGTGTGGCTATGCAAATAAACAGAGCAAGCGGTGTGCAATACTTTACCTAAACCTTTACAAAGCTATGAGATCAGAAGCAGCGATTAGTGGTCCGAAACCACATAAAAGCAGCGGTCCAGGCATGCCGAATTGTCCTAAGCTGATGGAGCCTGGGAAGGTTGGCGATTCGCCACCCCTGTACTGACAGGAATGCCAGAGAGTGGATTCCATAGTGACTCCATATGGCCATTTATTGTGGACATGGAGTGACCTGGGAAAGCTGCAGGGACTAGATTCGGATAGGCGAATCCCGTGTAAGAGGACATCAACAGATTGGAAACGGACGTGGCACTAGTTGGGTGCTGCTCGAGCGGCGGTACGTTGCGATGAATCAGGCCTGGTGAGTTGAAAGCAAATGTCTCGGGCGAGCTTTGCACCGGTGATGACACCGCAGCAGCAGGGTATGCTGCCGGTGATGCCGTGTCGGTTTCTGCTGCGCCAGTAGCGTGCGGGTCTGCCTCCGTCTTGCTGAGGGATGGAATCTTCCACAGTGCTGGCTGCAAATGCAGCAAATTCTTTTCTTCCGTCGCCTTGCAATCGTAATGCTGATACTGTGGAACAGTGGGTGGGTTGAAGGCTCTGCTATCTGGCTTTTTTGCAGCCCAGTTTGGATTCCCCGCATTGGGCCACAGTACTGGCCAGCATGGTTGGCATACAGGCAGTGGTGACGGCAGAGCTGGGTTGTGTGCTGATAGTGCGGCATGATCATTGGCGACTACGGGCACAGTCACAGGTGCACATCCGGACGAGGTACTCGCAAGGCAAGGGACACAGTGAACTGACTTGGTCACCACAGAACTGCTTGGCGTAGATGCAGGGGTTTGCAGCAGGTCACATTCCTTCCTGGTCGGTGATCCATCACAACCTTGGATACTCCTCTGCTGTAACAATTGTTCGTGCTGCAGAAGGCAAGGAAGAATAAATTCGAATAAAATAAGTTTGAGCAAAGGGCGAGGAGACAACAATCTTAGGAACAGTGGAAACAATGTGCAGTAATGAAAGGAAATGAGGTGTAAAAAAAGTGTAACCTTCTTTTCTATTTGTTACTGCACATTGTTTCCACTGTTGTTGTTGATTGACATTAGGAGGGCTTGGAAAGAGGACGATTCTTCGCCTTCCCTCACTACATGGCCGAACCACAGCAGTCTCCGTTGCCTGCAGACTTGGGATTGTGGGGTCTGCTCGGTTCTGGCATACAGCGCTGTGTTCGAGATTCGTTGTGGGTACGTGATACCAATGATGGTACGTAGTTTCTTCCGGTGCCATACATTGACGACGTCGGTTAATGTTTGCGATAAGGTCCGAAGCACACAATTATACAGCAAGACAGGCAATATCAGGCAGGAAAACATACACAGCCTGGAATTCAGGTTGTGGCGTTTCCATGGAATGCTTGCAAATGCCCGATTTGCAGCAGACACTCTGGCTGCTATGTCTTCTGCTGTGCCTAGCATACTCCCCAGCAGCTTCACCGATTTCCAGGAATCACCTTCCTTGGTCACAGTGAAATATTGAGTTTTTGCCACGTTAAGCTTCAGATTGTCATCCGAGAAAACGGGTTCACACACACAGACGGTTTCTTCCACAGATGATCGCTCGTTCTGATGGGCAGTGGTGTCGTCTGCGTATTGTCTGAGATGGATCGACGTTGTCAAGAAAGACTTACAATGCATTAATCTGTCGCTTCTGGCTGCTGTGCAATCAATCTGCTTCTGATAAAGCTGCTTGGCTCGAAATTGTTAACAGATGCGTTGACCTCATGCAATGAGTGAAATGCGAACTGTCATTATTATTATTATTGTTTCCACTTATTGCTTTAATGAAGTAGCCACATGTCCGTTCACCTTGTTCTCTTGATTGCGATTCTAAAATATGTTAGAATAATAGACCTTTCAGCTAGAAAGGAATCCAAAGTTACAGGTCAGACATCGCTATAGCAACCCTCACTACAACATAAAAATTTCCAAGCCCAGAGACTACGTTATAGTGAGATCTGACCTGCACAATGGCTATCCAACACTCACCTCCTTCGACAAGCTGTCCACTTGATATTGTAGCTCAGCAATGTACTTGGAGGCCGACTGTAGAGTCTCCAACTTACTGACCTTGCGTCTGGCCAGCTGTCCTTTGGCCTGAGCTAAAACGAACAAATATTTGTGGAAAGGAGAGAAAGGTCATCATAAAGAATTCCAAATGAACGAAAACATTTTTAAGGCTTGTGTGAGAATGAAAAGGAAGCCTTTTTCAAGAGTAAAGAGGAAAACACTGTGTCACAAGTTTTGCGTAAGGGTCTGTCTACTATTACAGATCGCGTTTGAACAGTCAGACGTGTGCAGTGTACCATAAACCTGACAAGAAGAACTTAGACATGACGTGGCATGATAGTGCGGGTGGTATATAGCGCTAAACCAACGGCCTTCCAATCAGGAGGGGTCAAGGTTTGGTTGCTCTATGACAGAAAAATTGCTGTTCAAGTCATAGCTCAAGTACTATAGGCCAGTGTTGTCAAGCACTCTCCATATTCCAACATCTGAATTCTGCAATATGATTCATCTGTACTGTGGACGAAAGGTAATATTACGGCTACATTTAAAAAAATAATACTGACAAGTGTGTTAGGAACATTGACGGTCAAGTGCTTGCTTCAAATTTGGAATAGATATGATTCAATCCTTGCTCACAGGCCCAACACATATTTGTGAAGAGTACACTTTATATTCAGCAACCCCTTTTTAAAGAGAGAGAAGCTATCACCACATCATACATTTCTTGCGTCCAGGCAACTTCTGGCTTTTCCACAGCAAGTCCTGCAGCTCCGAATAATGCTCGTTGATTGCTCGCACGCGTTCCCGTTCTCTCCTATTTCCACAATATGTGAGAGTAGAGTTTTGATTGTCTGGCAAAACAAAAACACAACAATAGTGATATGTCAACACACATGAAGGGATACACATACGCATGCCAACATAACAAGCACACAGAACAATCCTGTGATCATTACCACTGTGTAACATTCGTATTGAACAACCTGTGGGGCAGGTGAAGCATGATCACAGCGATCACTGATGGGCCAGATCTATAGAAGCTGCTGTCAAATAATCTATAGAGTTTAACGCGAATAGCTCATCAGTTGAGATGCTGTGGCAAAATTGCAGCACAGCGATGCACTAGTGATCCACTCTGCGTACATAGCGCCCATAAGCGGTTCCCGCACTTCACTGACGCACTACAATCACTTCTTTCCTATACTGTAAGTGCACAAACTTTCGGCCCACTCAAATTTCGGCCTCACGGGGCGAAAATCCTTTACGGCTGCATCAAACCTTCGGCCTGTACTGCTGCCGCCTGTATACACTTTCACACTGAGCCTTTCAAAACAAAATTTCAGCCAAACATTACCAGGCCGAAAATAGTCGAAAATAGATAAGCGCCGAATATTTGTCGACTTCCAGTAACTTCTATACATATGCAGACAGGCACAACAGGTAGTAGTAATCTGTGACATACATACATGAAGCGATCACCAGAAAGGCACACTGTGGTGATCACTTTATGCATGAGATGTTAAGTCACAGCAAAACAGATTTCCTTCTTCTTAGCATGTATACGGTTCTGTGCCGAGACGAATCCTGCGCTCTCTCAAGTTGCCACAACTGACTTCCAGTGTGAACAGGTTATCTACGAAACATGGATGAACCAGACCGTGCAGTATCAGGGGTCAAACAAGCCAGCTGGTCCTTGAAAGCAGCTACTGAGCCGACCAGGTAGCCCTTATAGCTGCTCTTGTGAATCCCTGGTCACCTTGATAGAAGATTCGGGCTCCTGTCAGTGAGACATTGCATATATCTAGGGTGCACTGAAATACAAGTGGTCTGTCTACCAAGGCTAACGCTCTATTTCGCACTTGATGGTTTGTACTGTGCACACATATTTTTTAATAAACCTACTGGTCTTTGTGGGCAGTTCTTCAGAAGGTTCAGCATCATGCGACATGTCTGCAACAGCACTGGATAGCCCGTTGTCAGTGGCTGTCGCTACATGGCTTGGCAGTGCCATCTGCCGGACGAAGGGATTTTCACATGACACAAATGGCAAAGTAGCAGCAGGTGGCAACGCAGGTGTGGATTGCGGTGTGGGAGTGTACGGAATGGTCGAGCAAAGGCTTCCACTAAGCACACCTGAGAAGTGAGTAGAGTACGATGCGTTAATCCACATGCCCATAAGCGCACTTGTATCTGGCTTTGGTGCTTGGTCGGAAGCTGCTGGAGAGAATTGTCCTGCAGTTGGTATATCATCGGCACAGGCTGATGTACTGGCATCTCGTAGTGTTTCACATCCCAGGATACCGAAGTCCTCACTTCCCGTGGGGGATTCGGCTGAAACACTCTCTTGCTGATCAGCACTATGTTTGACTGGGGCTATGCGTAAGTCACGCCCTCCAGCCATGGTCCCTGTTGAAGCCATACCGGTGGTTCCTACGCATGGGCTCCCTCCGGGCATCTCCGCGTGCCCTACGCAGACCCCCTCAAGTCCATCACTGCGGCCAGATTCAACCACGGCCAAAGCATTGATGATGTTCTGCAGTGGTGAAGGGATGACGAACGTTGACTGGCGTGGTTGCTCAGCAGGCGGCGTGTCTAGTTCTTGTGCGCTGGCAGAGTGTTCAGTGGCATCGCCGCTCTCTGTGAGTGTACTCTCCGGCGCACATGAAGAAGCTGAGCACCTGGTACTGCTTATGGAATCAGTACTGGGTGACATTTCCTCGAAACTATGCGGGGAACTCAACTGCCTGGCACTGTCCTCCTGTGGCTCCTTTGAAGACAAGTTTTGATGCAGCTGAGCTTCCTCGCAGCTATCCGGGCTTGCCTGGCATGAACCATATCCTTTCATATCTGAGTTACTAGCAGTTGGCTCTTGTATAGCCATCTCGACGAGGCTCTCCTCCCCTTTGTTAGGCGGTGATTTCTCTTCCTCAGCACTGACATTGCCATGATCAGAAGAGTCAGGACTAGAATCTTCATGTGCAGACTGGGTGTGTTCCACAACAGAGATGTGACCAATAGTGTCGGCTTGAACAGTGGCATCATTTCTGCAAGCGGCGTCAACTGAGGTCCTAAGTGGTGCTACAGCACACGTTTCTGTAATGATCATGTCCTTGTACGGCACATCATCATGGATATGACCAGAGGTGTCAGCACTACCAGTCGGCTTCATGTTAGTACCCTCGCCTTCTCCTTCAGACAAGGGTGTGTATGCTCCTTTCGAGCCGCTGCCTGGCAGTGTGGAGTTCTGCACCATTTGCTGTGGCAAGTTCTCTGCCGGCTTCTCATTGCTCAGTGCTGGTTGTGTTGGAGAAAGCAGTGGTGTGTTGCTTGACATACACTCTTGAGAAATTGCCAACTGGATGGGAAACAAAAGAATGGCAAGTGAATAGAAATTTGTTTTGAGCGATGCCAACAGAAGACAGCCAACCTGAAATATTGCAAAACGAATTTCTGTTACCTCGTTCCCTCATCACTACCAGATGCTAAAAAGATGCTACTGGTAATAAGTTATGAACATATGACTATACCGTAGTTCCGCGCATATAAGCCCACAGGTCTATATCTGGATATAAGCCCACCTCCGTTTATAGGCCCATGGGCTAATAAACAGACCCAAACACCGTTACGGAACCGATAGTACAGCATGTCAGTGCAGACTACATTACCAGTACCGGTACCTACGGTAGGCGGACAACCGCGCACGGACTTGTACTTTTTCGCGTGCCAGCTGCCTTCAAAATTCGAATAAAAGGGCTAAAAAACGAACCATTATTACTGATTTTTTTCCCCAGAAAATGCATTATTTTGTATATTGGCCCATGGGCTTATATGCGCGGAACTACGGTAACTTGGTTTGTTACTAAAGACAGCGGGAGCCACTATCATCGGATTTGAATGCTGTGCTAGGACAGGATACAAAGCCATTTTCAAATATTTGATAGACAAGAACGAGATCCATTGGATATGCTCTTCCAGAATCTAAACATCCGTAAGATTGACATTGATGCAACATCACAGCTTACATAGCCCTGCTGACCTTCATCACCACTATTCTCTCTGCTTTGCTGACAAGAGCTTGCTGCAGGATCTGCACAGAAGAAATTGTGCATCCCTCCCCGGACACAAGTACATACAAACATACACACACTCGCACATGTGAACACATGCGCACACACGTACACACACGCACATACACACACACACACACACACACACACGCGCGCGCGCGCACGCACACACACACACACACACACGCGCGCGCGCGCACGCACACACACACACAAAATGTACTTCCTCCGCGTCATCGAAATTGTCGCCGCTAGTTTGACTAGTGACTTGTCACTTGTTACTGACAACTCCATAAGCTAAGCCATTCAAAACTTATTACACAGTATGAGTCTGAAGACTAGAGTAACGTTCCAGGACAGTTGGACTGAGAGTTTTCATGCAGAGATGAAGTCCTCGTCGTTGCTGATGTCAATGGACGCAAAATTAATATTTAAAATATCGTTCCGAAATATTTCAAGGAAGGTTGAAAGTTGGTCGCGCCTCATCTCAAACGCTTCGACTTTCTCCACAGGACAAGAGCTGCTATGCTTGTCATCTGCTAGCTCTGGATGATTTCTACTTCACCACCAACGAAGCCTAGTAAGAATACACGATCGTTGCGAGCTCGGTTGATTACCGTCGGCGTAATCACCTCGATCTTGAAATGAACTTTTTTTAGTGGTATACCATGGTACGGCACCTGCGCGTGCATCACTAGCACTACATGTAGAGTCTACACGGCTCTTGCAGGTACAATCATGTACTGAGTGTCTCAGCCAGAGCGACAAATTTATCGCTGTTGCAGGCATTTAGTTTGCTGACCCCTCGATGTTTCTCCAAGCGCTGCCACTTGTTCCACGAAGTCATTCTCACCCCAGCTAAGGTAAAACAGTGATGAGACTTGAGTAAATGGCCATAAGCAAGAGAAATGTGCAGGCTGCAGCGCCTGACTGATCCCAGCGAGTCGAAATTACGATCGCAGCGACATCAGCGAAGAAATTGCGTCCAGTTCAAAAATTCCAGCTTCCAATAACAGAAAATAGAACTTTGCCGTCACCCTATACTGATGACTATCGCCTATGTCCGATTCCTTGCCTCTGGTACGAGTGCTGGTGAGTAAATACCCCGTTTTATATCAAAAGTCAAACTGCGAAAATTTCGATGACGCGGAGGAAAAACGTGTTCCAATAATTACAATCAAGCCAGAAACAGACTCTGTGCCAGAACTTTGCAGCCTAGAGAGCGTGTGTGGGCAGGCGTGTGTTTACCGCCATATTGCCAGGTGTGTCTTTACCACCATATGATCAACCATAAGTACAGCTGCAGTGGTGTCTTCAACTTCATTCAAGCCAGAAACACATCTGGATAATATTTACTGCACTTCAATACTAGCTGTTTGAGCTATGAAAGCAACGTCCAATATGACATGCACCTGTTTACACAACTTTCATAACAGGAATTGAAACGGAGAAAGAAAAGAACAGGAAGCCATCCAGGGACCTTTGCTATTGGTCAACGATGTTGTAACCATTAAGCCATACAAGCAGAAACTCTTCAACATTTTCCCCAAACTATGAAACACGCGGTTCACTGACACCGAAATTGAAGCAAGTTCGTACAGTTTTAGCAAAACTGACCTTGTTTCTCATGACTCTGCGGTGTGCTCTCCTGCTTGAAGTGAAAACCACCTTCACACTGCATTAACATTTTCTCCAGTTTCTTCGTCATCTTTCTCTTTGGATCTGGTATACTGGAGCAGCACGGGGCTGGTTGCTGCCTTTTCAGGTTCTTTGCATTCATTAGGCTGGCAGAGACTCGCAGTGGTTGCTTGCTGCTAGTGTCGGGTAACTTGAATATATCTCCCGGTATAAGTGCATCAGTCCGTACTCCCTGGAAACGACTTGCTGTGGTGAGTTGTAGGGCAGCAGATGACCTTGCATTGGCAATGACGTGTCCAGGATGGCTGTCTTTTCCTGGGTCGATGTTCTCCATTGCTAATGGTAACTGCGAATGGTGAAATGCGGACCATGGTTGACCATGACGGCCTCTGAAGAACGCATCACTCTCGCGGGCTGTGGCCATTTCACTGAGTGCGTTATGCCGGTGATCGTCAGGTGTGCCTTTTTCAGGTAGTGAAAGGCTGTCGGAGCACTCCTCTGCTGCCTTGGGTGGATTTAATTCAGCCGAAAGGACATTGGCTAGGTTTGCATGGTGTCCGCTTTGTCCATCTTGAGCTGATGATCCGGGTGTAGGATCCAGGTACTTTGACAGAGGTATCGGGTAATGGTCAGCCATAGGGTAGCCATTGTTATCTGCCAAAAAAGATTGTAAGAGATCACTGTTTGAAGATTGAAATACAGAGAACCTTGAATAACAACCCAGGGCATTACACCAACAGGTGAATATAGACTCCATCAGAATACCTACTGTATAATGTTTAGTATGAGCACACAATTCAGGCTTTTCAGGTATTTGTCTCAGAGAAAATTGTCATGCCTAGTAGCTGTTTGACTAAAATGCTTTTAAATGCGTAAATAGCAACAGGTCACGAACAACATTCGATCAAGGTCATGATTTGCAATATTGTCTGTGCATTGCATACACTTAAACAGAGATCCACGAATACTGAAAGCGAAAACGCTTTCACCCTGCGACTCTCAAAATTGTGTTACTTCAAGGGGAACTGATTTTTGATGTCAACCCTTAGTTATACATCTATGGCTTACCGGCACCAAGTCCAAAATTCGTGAAGCCTTCCGTGAGAACACTTTCAACCTGCGCATGTAACAACATCTCGTGGTTTATCAAAGTGCTGCAGAACTCCAATACCTGCAGCCCAGGAAAGATGGCAAAGGAAAATGGCGTACTTTTAGAACAAGTCACAACAGCTACCTTTAGAACAAATAAGTCATGTGGAGACAAGCGGTATATTAGTGCGATCAAAAGTAGCGGACCTTAGAACAGTGTGAAGAGGAGGAGGTTGGTGCGGCTTTGGCGATTCTATCTGTTCGGCGATGCTGACATTAGACTGTACCTTTGAAACCGTTGCTACTCAACCACACATCCTTCCAAGTTAATTGAGCTTCCGAAGCTCACTAAATGGCTGTTCCAAAGGAAAAATAAAAGGCCTCAAACCTGTGCTTAGATTGGTTCGAAATTATAGTCCCGAGTTACCACGGTAACACAACTGATAGTGGGTGAAGTTACCAGAAATTACTTGCGAATGTAGGATAGGAAAGAGAAAGAATATAGCAATGGTGCGGACAGAACTGTGGGCAGCTGTTCAGAATCGGCGGAAGCAGGTTTCGATTGGTGTTACCATAGTATGGGGTACATTGAGTACAGCATGGCCATTAGAACATGACCTGCCAAACAGTGCACAGGCATTCCTGGCCGAAAACTTGATCCTATTATGGCCTAAACAACCGGACCGGCACAGTCATGTCTGTAGCGTGTGTGTTGACTGCCATTTTACAGACAAAAATGTCGGATAGACACTTTTTAAGAACTCTGAAGGTCCATTGTAGCCTTGTCATCTTCTCCTTCCTTCACCAATCTGCAACACACGAACAGTCCTACATGAACAATTATGCATGAAACAAAAATCGAGTCATAATTTTGACACTAGTATGTATGAGTAATACTCACGCTAGACATCTTCGTTCCTGTAGGCTTGCACTTGGCTCGGTCAGCGCAACTATCAGTGTCATTTTCACTCATGCCCTCATCTTCTTCCTCTTCGTCTTCTTCGCTTCCTGGCACCATCTCCAGTGGGCTGCATGGCGACATCTGGACACCATCAAAGGAATAGGCAAGTCTTTTGCCGCGGTTCCTGTGACACAAGGACTTTTCACGGATGCGCACGATAGGAAATGGAGATGGCGAGGACGACAGCGAGTTAGTCCCACTAGCATTCGACACGCGGAATGCCTCTCGACGTGTTGACTCTGATGTTTGGTTTGCCTGTCGATTGGCCTGCTCTTGTACATTTTCACCAGTAACTTTAACCATGGGAGCACATGGTAAGGTTCCATGGTTTGCGTGTTCTGCCTTCATATTTCCGGACTTTGTGCGAAAATTGCTGTTCTTGGCCATGGATGGGACCAGTTTGACAAACGCCGATGCACAATGGGAAGACGAGCTAGACTTGGACGAGCTGCTAACCTTGTGTCGCTTGTTTTTGGGCCTGCGAGCAGAGAGTGCATTTGCGGTGTTGCCACTGTGTAGTTTCCCAGCCTTGTTTACGATGTCCTTTGGATTTTTCGCCTGCCCATGTTCAGCAACGGCTTGGCTTGTATGACATCCACTGGGTTTGGGAATGTTTCCGCAGTCGTCTCGCGGATTGTCAGCTTCTTCACCAAGCTTACTCGTAGGGTCTTCGTCACCATTGCAGTTGCTGTCGTTCGACGGAGGGTGTGGAACTCGGTCCTGCCGACAGTTTTTGTCGGTCGTAATGCAACTTCTCAGAGACAAACCGTCACCGCCAGAATCCTTGGGCGTGTCACATAATCCTCCATTTCTTTCATCACCATCACCCGACTTCGCGAGCAAAGCGTCAACTGAGACAATGTCGGAGTCGACGGGATTATTCTCCACCGAAATTTCGTTCGTTTTTCCGGCTGTTGGCGCGGCCATTGGCACTCGCTTGGCGCTCACCGACAGCTCGCAGAGCGGAACCTGTCCCTGGCGCTGGCGACACCTGCCGAAACGCCTCCGCTGACAATTCTATCTCGCTTGTTCCTTTGGGGCACCGTTTCAGCGCCACAAGAAAACACCTACACTACACAGCAACCTTCTCTGGCCGTGTGCCATCTCAGCTAGCAATGTGGTAACGGGCCGCAAAAAACAACTCCGTTGAAGGACTTGCGAGTCCGCTGCATGCGCGCATAGGCGCATGCTAGGCACAGGTGCGGTGTCTCAGTCTTCCAGAGTGGATGCACATGCGCATTGCCCTGTACTACAATGCTACATCCGACCCCCCGCCAAGGGGGTCGGATTTCAGTTGCCAGCACTGTCCTTACAACTACAAGAACTTGAAGAAGTAGTGTTTAGCAAACCCGTGCTTTTACAACGTAACCAGTTACCATGGTTACCTGTCGGGTGTTTCGCAGTGGCCACTCCGGCACTCGTCAAGATGGCGGCAAATCCGAGAGTACAAAAATTTCGACTCTGCCTATGTGCATGGCGGATGCGAATCTCGCAAGTGCATGCAAAATCTAGCATTCTGCAGAGCTGGGAAGAGCAAGTGTGTAGCCAGTACTGTGTAGGAACGAACGACGACCTTTTCCGAGAGAGAATGTGGCTCTTTTCATCCCAACATTTTACTCGCCACGCTCTCCCTCCCAGCTTATTGATACGAGTATGTGCTACCGAGTAGAAGTCTCCATCTTCAGAGTAGGCCAGGCAGAATCGCAAGGTTGAAATACTTGCTCACTTGGTTTTTTGGTCCAGTTTGAGGTGTTGATGTGATCGTTGTGTACAACTCGAAGTGACAAACTTGAGACCCCCGCGCCACAAAAAACTAAGGCGCGCCACAAAGTTTCGTTTGGCTGTTCAATGAAAGGACGTATGGAAGCAGGGATAAAAACTATCGTGGCTGCCGGCAAAACTCCTAGTAATGTAATAAACGGGGGTGTGACTTTGGTAATTCCAAGGAGAATGTACGCACGGCCATTCCACAACGAAGACGAACTACGAGCTCAAAAACACTCCGATTTTCAAACAAACGACGCAGGAACGAAGACATGGCCACAGTGTTCCTGTGTGGCCTTCAAAACACCTAATTTTACTTCGATAGCGGCTGGTTCAGGGCAAATTCAGGCCCAATTCGACAGCGTCGTACCGCTCAGATTCGCCCAAAACACAAGGAAATTAAATGTACGGTAGATCCAAATGCGTACGCATTTTGCGTAGACCTACGGGGACGACTGGCCAGAGTTCATGCACAGCTAGCTGCAAACACCCGGTACCCGTGATATATACATGTCGTTACGTTTACGACTCCCTGTACTGTAGATCTACTGGACATACCGGTAATCAACCACTGGCTAGGCCCCCGCCCCCCCCCCCCCCCCCCGTGTAATATGCCGGCATTTTTTTAGCATTTTCGGTACAATCCGCGAACCCAGCACTTTGGGCTCGTGTCGTGATGCAGCATTTTGGGGGAAACGGAGCACTTGGCCGTTGTGTATCAAAATTGAGAGAAGAAAACTTCCCAAACAAGAACGTCACTTCCGCATTCCGTGGGTTAGCTTCTTGTTGAGTAGTTTATGAATTGTTTACCATGGCAGACTCGAGCAAGTTATTGAGTATTTTCTGACTCCCTGGTTTTGGCGGCGTGTAGCTGAGGATGACAAAAAAAGTGAGCATTTTCCGAGCATTTTCGGCAAGGTCTGGGAGCATTTTGGGCAAGGTTTACGAGAATTTCCCAAAAGCATTCTCGGCAAAGTTTCGGGCATATTACACCGGGGCCTACCACTGGCTGTGGTGTAGATCTACTTGGATCCTTTTTGGCTTTTGAAATTATTATTTGCACAAAATACTACAAAAACACAACCTCATTGAGCCTACAGTGTATATTATTTTGCTAGGGGCTGAGTTCATTTTTGCCTCCTGGGTGCAATGCTTGAGTTCTCTTTGTCGGGTTTCTTTTCTTCTTCTTTTTTCCTTCTTCTTTCAAATCCAGCATCATATTTCCGGTGTTCTTTTCTTTCTTTGCATCATCATTTTATGCGGTCAATAAAAACACGATTCCAAGTAGATTTACCAGGTCGTCCATTATTGTTATTATTATTATTGCATCCCTGATCCCTGATGATGCCCTCCTGGGTGAAAATTTGGACAATTTCAACTGTACGTGGTGTAGCCAAGGACTGTTAGTGTGTTGCGAGTTGGGTATACTGAGATTATTATTGCAAATAACACTGACTAACACTGAGTAATTACATGAATGTATAAACCAGCATTTGCTTCCGGGAAGGATTCACAAAAATAAGATATAAAAACACCATGGCTCAATGTAACTGCACATACGGAAAGCTGCTTCTATTGTCAAGTCCGAGTGGCAGTCCATAGTTTACCATTATTAATTTGTCCATGCCTACCACAATAATATCTGCGCTAGGCGGCAGGGTGTCGGGTTTACACGGTTTATGACTCCCTGCTAGTGCTAGTAGGCATTGGCGGATAATGCTCGAAAAGCAGTCAAAATGGCAGAACCATACAAATCGTATGGCGGGCAATTCCTCGAATTCTGCTCCATTTCTTTATCCACATACCAAACATGCATGAAACTTACCAGAAAAAGTACCGAATTCTGCCAATTGTTATTAAATTTTGTTCTGCCGGCATTATCCGCAAAGGCCTACCTGCTAGGCAGTAGATCTGTAGTACTAGTAGTAGTCTGTATCGTAGATAGATCTCGAGCGTACTGAAATCTGGCTCCATGGCATCATAGATAAACTGATTTCCGCCAGTAAAGGAAAGGTGTAAACCGACGATGCATGCGCTCTTCGATGCATGCGCGGATATGCGCATATGCATATGGCCAGAAAAACTAAAATACAGTGATTGTGTTGACCCTAGCCCTACTCTTGATCCTTCTGTACGTTCCTGCCATGTGATGGTATTCATGGCGTAAGGCAAACATCGCCGGTCTAACGTTATTTTTTGACAGTCTTGTCAGCCGTTGAGCCAACCAAAGAGTAGATAGTGCTCAGCTTCTGGAACACCACCTATTCCCAGCGTTACCTCCCTCGTATCGTCACATTGAGTTTGTCAGCATTATCAGATCATGTCATCATGTTCATCTAAGTAACAAGTGGCACAGACTAGATCAGTACGACAGTACTAGTAGATCTGCTATGATTCAGTACGACAGTGCAGTAGCTTCCCACACAAAGCAGTAGATGATACCAACGCTAACGACTCACTCGATGATACATTATAATGTCATAAATCAGGATCAACCACAGGATTTATTTGAAATACAGTTCCTGTCGAATGACTATGCATAGGACCTTCTACTCATCTCTACGTATACGATACGACTCCCGATCCCATGCCCGGAGCCATGGCATGCCCATGGCCCACTACACACTGTGACCATTGGCATGGTCACCACGATGTCTTTTGTGACATCTTTGAACGAGAGCAGACTCAGTGCTAGACTCAGAGAGTAGAGTGTAGACTTCATGACAATCATGATGTCTACACTCGTACTCTAGCACACTGCACAGGTGCAGGGAGATCTCGGCCGTTGCAAGGGCTGCTCAGCGAAACACCTCCAATGTTCCGGATGAGAAGTAAGTGGCCATGAAGTGATACTGCATGCTCACCTAGGTTATTGTTGATTCTCAGATCAATTGCCCTACCTCGATCCTACTTCCTAATTAGACTGCCGAAAAGCTGATATGGCCGGTATCGAGAGGGAACTATCAGCTGCCGGAGCTCTGGACGATGTTCTCGCCGCAGAATTAGATCAAACCGGAGGCGGCAATTCCAATGGGCAAGCCGTTGCCGATCTCGTTGCGGAGGCAGAGGGATGTATTGGCTCCGGGAAACCAGCCAAGGCCATTCCAGTTCTGGAGAAAGTGCTGTTGATGTGCAATAAGGATGACGCTGAGCTTTGCAGTGTGCTGTGGAATATGCTGGGTAACGTGCATTTTCGCTTGGCCGATTTCTCCAAGGCCATCTATTGCCATCTTCACGATTTGGCCAGTTGTCGGGAGGCTGGTGACGGCGAAGGTTGCACCAAGGCGTACGCCAACCTTGGCTTGGCGTTCAAGAACGCCGGGCAGCACGAGAAGGCTGGTCAGTGCTTCGCCAGTCAACTGCAGAGTTGCGAGCGAAGGCGCCATCAGACAGGCATGGCTCGTGCTTACAACAACCTCGCTCAGCTGACTGTGATGATGGCCAAACTACTGATGAAAGAATGTCGTGAGAAGACTGCCATTGCTCAGGGAGCCGGTCGCGATAATGCAGAAGCTGCCACATTGTCCAAATTGAAGGACAGCATCAGAGAACGCCTCACTCAAGCAACTGCATTCTTTCAAAACCAACTGCAAATTGTTAGCAAACAGCGAGACAGGTGAGACTCTTCATCTACACACAGACTACAGATCTGAAAAAAGCTTGTGGCACTGTACTTCACCAAAGGCATAGATCTATTTTTTTGCCCATAATTTCACTTTCAAACCAATACTATAGATATAGAGGTTATGAGAATGATTTCATGAGGTGAGTCAGCGGAATCACTGATGGGCCACTTTATCACTGATGTGATGGGCGCTATATAAGTATACAGCGTTATTCAGCTGATTCGCTAATGGGCACTAGGCATGCAGGGTGAATCACCAGTGCTAGTGCATCGCTGGGGCCCAACTTCACCAAAGCATCTCAACCGATGATCTAACCGTGTAACCTCTGTAATATGTTGGTCAAATGCTTCACGTGTTGTTGGCACAACGACATGAAACTGCACCGTATTGGTTGATGAAATCATATGTGGTCGAATCGGCTTCAGGTACAGTGCCAGGTGCTCTGCAGTCGACTGTGTACACGTGCCACGAAACTGTGGTACTAACCAGGGAAGATTCACAGATTGAGCAAAGTAGCACGATAACAATACCCGTTGGAGGTACATGCACAAAGGAAAAAGAAAAAGCACTAACCGAATGTCTGGGCCATGGCAGCCTGCTTTTGGAACGCATCATATTGAGATGACTACCGACATTGCCGTAGCTACTAGTGCCTGCATGCCGTGCATACATGCCTGAGGTATAGAGTTGTGAGTTCGTTAGTTATCATTGTTGGTATTGCTGTGATGTGCATCTGACTTTCAGGCTTGCCGAGGCGCGAGCCCATGGAAACATCGCCGAGTGCTACGAACTGCTTGGGAAGTACGGAAAGGCTATTGAACACCACACCCGGGTAAGCTCCAGCATGACACAGAGTTGTACAGTAGGATTTCACTTAGCCGGGCATATTGACACCGGGCACTGATCATAACTAGAAATTGCTGTCGACTCTGTCTCAGAACCTACGTACTGATAGAATGCATGTAGCCACTTTTTTATGGCAATTAAATGTTGGTGCCATTTTTCGTTCAAAAGATAGCTTGTGACTTGACTCTAGGGAGGTGAAAAGGCGCCCCCGTAGATGGGAGTCCCTGAATCTTGAGAATCCGGGTAAGGGGAGGTTTACCGTAACGATGCTTCGCATTCCAATCAATTGGCTCTGACCGGGGAATCGGACCATCCGGCCCACTATTCTAGATTATGACCAACGACATATGCGCTCCAAGGCTTTTAACAATTTCAATCTGGCATGCTTGCTAGGGTAGTGCTGCATTCATGCACTGCTGTTATACCACTCCCGCATTGTCTTTTGGATTGGTGCTGTTGCGCTGCTTACCACAGAGATTGACAATGGCTGAAGATCAGAATGACCATGAGGGAATGAGTCGAGGACACTGCAACATCGGCAACTGTCTGCGATCACTTCAAGAGTATGAAGAGTCAATTGAGCACTACACGAAGGTAAGCCTGCTAACGCTTGCATATTCACGCACAGTAATTGGCCTTAGGGCCAGAAGAAAGTGTTGATAAACTTCAGAACAAAGAGATGTATTTTTTGTTTGCTCCTCTATTTCCATGATATGCAACCTGGTGTTGTGGCGATTCCACAGCACACTTTTTCAATGAACTGTTTTTTGTTTGGGGAGCTTACATGTGCAGTTCCTGCTCATGATTTTCATCCACCGTCCAGTATCACACCTACTGTACTCACATTGGTACAACTCATTGAGGGTATTGGGGTATCACATGTACTCGCTATTCTTTGGCTTGCTACACACTTTTGTACAGCATCTGCAGAGATTTACAACACTCCTTTTCAGCGTAGTGTGTCCGGTTGTTGTTTTCTGCTACTGGCGTTCAGGACCTGAACATCAGCAAAGAACTGGGCGATGCGGCCGGACAAGCCATTACACAGCGCAATCTTGCAAACACGTACGATATGATGGGCGACTACAACACCGCCGTGCGTTGGCATACAGATGTAAGTAGTAGCACTGTAGAAGGGCCTGCTCGGAGACTGTGCTGCTACCACAGCATCACACCCTGCTCGGAAACTGCATTGGTACACACAGCATCATACCTTCATGCTGATAATTGTCTTCTCTATGTTTCACTGCATGCCTACTACTCTCTGCGAAGACGAGAATATTTGGTGCAAATGTCCTTACAGCAGAGGTTCGAGGATACCTTCATGCCTATATTTGTCTTCCCTATATTTCACTCCATGCCTACTACTCTCTGGGAAGATGAGAATATTTGGTGCAAATGTTCTCGTAGCAGAGGTTCAAGGAGCGATATTATCAACGTCTAATGTGCATATTGGTCGCACTTGTGCCGGTGTAAGGCATGGTCAATGTCTCATTCTCCATGTAGTGGTATACTTGAGAACGGTTTTATTCACACCATGAATTAAGAGTTAAAGCAAAAAGACAACCCAATTTCGGAAATGAATAGAACACTGAATTGAAATATAAAATTGAAGGCAAAAGCTTCCCAGCTGTAGTGGTATACTGCTGTGCAGCACTGAAGTGTAGACACTGCAAAGCTTTCTGTCACTGAGGTGAATATTTCTGGTGGAAAAGTGCAAGATTCAGCTACGTTCTGAATTAACTGGCACTCTAAGCATTCTAGATAGAAAATCACAGTTATTCGTTACATGTCACGGGAGCTGTGATAGTGAAGCAAGGGTACTAATAGATACGATGGAGGGACTAGCATGCCATTGAAGGTTTCCTCTGTTCTACGTGTATTCAGAATCTTGACCTTGTGAAGGAGCTGGGTCAGCGCAATGAGCAAATCCTGGCCCTTGGTTACATTGCCTCGCTGCATGAGGACATGGAGCAGTATGACTCGGCCATTGAGTTCTACACCAAGGTTAGTGCGAAAATCCATTCCGTATCATTCGAAAACTGGAAATCACTTAGAAAGCCTACTAGTATCTCATTGTGACATTGTCTCAACTACTTTGTGGCACAGCAGAACAACTTACGAGATGAATGCAAGTTCTCCAGGGTACTAACAAAGAAATGATCTGTCCATGGTTTAATTTCTTTTTCCAATCTTTCTATTATACTCGATATACGCCATCCAGTGGCATAGCTGGTCCACATTCCGGGAGGAAAGGAGGGGGGGGGGGAGATATGTGGCTTCACAGCAGACAAAGACCTGCAATCGCTAGGCCGTTTAGGCCGCAACCACACTACGTAAAAATCACAGTACAAATTTTCATGCAAATCTCAGTACAAGTCGGTACGCAACCACACTACACCTTTCGGTCTGCATAGATGACGTTTTCACGCAAACAGCACGTGACATTGTTGTACCAAAGCGTGTGCCATGCGCGCATGCGCTGGAAAAGACCGGGAAATTCAAAACAATGCTGATGCTGATGCTATGTACGACGACCAAGTACAAAAACAAAGTTGTACACAGGAGATGGAGCGCGAAAACGACGAAAACGACAAACGTGACTTTCTACAGGGGTGCGCCAGTTGCTGAAAACCTACAAAGCGCATTTTGCATTTCGCACGCGTCGGCATGACGATTTCTACTGTAATGCCGTTTGTACGTGATTTTGTACCTAGTGTGGTTGCAGCCTTAGCCTAAACATGCACATTCTGAACGCATGTTTAAAGATTTCAAGGTTGCACATGCTCCCCGATTCCTCCGAATATACAATGTTAATCCACATTAAAACTGTTGCCCTGGGATCGCTTTTTGCTTTGCAGCTTTAGTCTCATTCTGTCTTCTATGCTGATCTCCCCACCTGCAGCAAATTGACATCTACTGTGCAGCTGGCAGTGAGGAAGGACAAGAACAGGCGACTGGCAATGTTCAGCGTCTGCACAAGCTCATCCAGAAACGTCGAGAGGGATTCAACGCCAGTCCTGCGGCATCGCCTCGCGTCGCCAACAAACAGGGCATATTCGACAGTGCCCGGCGCTTGAAGGAGGGCACGATGCGCATCTTCAACCGCAAGGACAGGCGCAGCGTGCTGGCGAAAGAAGAAAGCCCCTGGATCACGGACATGGAGACGCCGCCGATGCGCCGCCGTCAGCTGCGAGGTACTGATAATGTGTATCGTGTAGCGCAGCCACGCGATGGTGTGGCTGTCAGCGCTGGCCCTGGTGCAGTCAGCGGTATCGGCTTCTTCAACCCTACACACGCCACATCCACGTTTGACGAAGGCAAAGCCAAGACAGACAAAGCACTGGAGTCAGTCATGGCTTCACTCAGCACTGACCAACCTGCCAAGCCCAGCGGCAAGAAGGCCTCGCAGGCCGAGTCAAACTTCATACTGCGTGCGCCCAGCCAGGAAGAGCAGGAGAAGCGCATATCAATCTACGCGTCGACGTTCGGAGGTCGTAATCACGCCATGCAGCTGCAGCTGGGCGTTGGAAGCATGCTGCAGGAGATTGCACACGAGAACCCGCTGTTCTCCGCTTTCCGGGAAGAGCAGGGTTGGAACGGCGTCATGGATCAGTCTGCTCAAGCCAGGTAAGTAGCTTACAGAGCATAGTACTCAAATAATTAACGTATGCAATGCTGGCATACCGTACTCCTGCGATTAGAGCCCTCTCTCGAATAGTGCTTTATCGCGAATAGTGCGCCAGTCTCTAAGGGCCAATGAAAAAATAAAGCCCCCTCTTGAATAGTGCCCCCCTCCCCCCCCCCCCCCTGGGCTTGTAACCAAACGCATGTGCAAGTTTGGTGTTCTTTTGCTAGTAATGTTCTTGTCCATGTCATTGAACTGGTGGCCAGGGCAGGGTTTTTCTTCGCCTTCTTTGTTTTTATGCGGGATGAAGTGAATGTACCAGCATTGAAAGAATAGTGCCCTCTCTTGAATAGTGTCCTCTCTTGAATAGTGCCCTCTCTTGAATAGTGCCTCTCTTGAATAGTGCCCCATCTGTGATGGACATTGAAGAATTAGTGCCCCAAGGGCACTGATCGCACGAGTACGGTAGTTAAGTGTTGATGGAATCAGTGATAGATAGAAGGTGCGACTTCCGAAACTGACCGTATCACAGGACACTATTTTACAACACAGCCCTTATCATCCCAACTAGTGTGGCTCATCGGATTGCACACAAGGGAAATAGTCCGATGCTAAAGCACAATCGCAACCATAGCTTTTCGCTGCTTAAATTCCAGTTCAATTGATTGCACATGGGACTCCCGTGCTATGGAAGGCACCAGTAAAACAAGAAACATGGAAAAACAATAGAACGAGAAACATGAGACAAAAACGAACACAGCTTAACCCCCTCCTCCAATCATTCAAATAGTGTATAAATATGCAATTATAAAATAGCACCATCACAACTCGCTTCAAGTGTAGCACCACCTTTGTGCCTCTTGTTCTTATTATTGCCTTCAGCATGATGTTGAATTCGAGGAGCATGGATTCAGTGGACGTGGGTATGTTTGAAGCAGCAAAGGGCTCGGAGCAGCCAGCCAAATGAGTTCTATTTCGGCATAGCCACATGGAAGACGGATAATTCTTTTTGGTGATGACTTGAGATTTATTTCATCTATGACATGCTCCATAGTTAGGCACTACACTTGGAATTGATAACTATGAAATGAAAAAAGATCCCTATTTTGAAACTTTTTTGGTATAAAATTATTCTTTTCAACATTTTTAATAATAGGTTCAAGTTTTCAATTCAATATTTGATTGTTCGCGTATGTACCACTACAAGACTGGCTGATTTGATGTCAAGTGTTCAGAGCCAATCCTGAACATTCGCACTAGATACATAAGTATACACATACTTCAAATGTAGTATGCATTGTTTTCAGGAGACATTTGACTGTACAAGTGCACTAAATTCCACCAAGATGGATGGCACACTGCTGTATGATTCTTATGAACTACGCGCGGTGCTCCGCTGGCGGGAACTGTGCTCTACCGTGATCATCGCACAGCGTCAACGTCTTCGGTGTCAGTTGCACACATACATACTGTCTCTGCCCTTACTCCGCTGGCGGGAACTGTGATCATCATAAGCACAGCGTCAACGTCTTCGGTGTCAGTTGCACACATGCTTTGTCTGCCCTTGGCTTGGGGTTGCTGTTCATGATATTCATGAAGCATGCCGGGCTCATACAACATATACATGTGAATTGTTTAGGACGGTCTGTCAGGAGTTTACTGACGTGTGTCGTGATAGTGTAGCTGCACTGCTCAGCAGGTGCTGCTGGTGGTTGGATGTTGCTTGGAGCAGACGTTGTAGTTGCTCGTCCTTCAAGCTGAAACAATCCACACAGCACACACGCGCGCGTACGTGAACACAGCACCCCATCAAGCTAAGACATGCCATGGTGATTATTGACTGCTCAATCGTGTCAGACCCACAGCTTGTCTGATCAGCACAAATAAACATTTGTAGCACAATTAGTAAGGCCAAGCTCAATGATATTGCTTGTCCCCACCACATTTCCACAATTTTGTGTCACAGTATCTTTCTTGAGCAGGACCGGCACCAGTATGGGCATGCTACTACTATGCATGTGTACCAGTAGCTAGTACTTCAAGTATTCTCAAAATTCTTACACTGAAGGCAAAGACGGACACCAGTACAGGCAGACCTCGCATAACCGCACACATCCGTTTTCCAGAAAAATATCCGGATAGGCGAGGGAACCGGATAATCAAACACACATACTGTATGTGTGCACGGCATATGCTGTAAATCGGTAACCAACCGCGATTTTCTTTCGGATGGCGAGGGATCCGGATAAACGAGGACCGGATAAGCGAGGTCCGACCGTATTAGTATACTGTATGAAATAACAAAGAAGGAGTGGATGGATGAATATAGAGAACTAAGATGCAATGAATGTATTGTATTAAAAACTACCCACCTGCTGTCTTCCTGGAGCCTGTGTACTTCTTTGTGTCGCTCATCAAGCATTGTACGCACATGTCTAACTTCTTTCTGAATCTCCTGCACCTCTCTGACATGTCGTGACTCCTGCTCTTCAAGCCTAAGGAAAACACAGCAAAAGCATATCCAATTAATGGGCTCATCCGAAAATGCAAGTTTTTGCTTAGGCTGCCTAACTTAGGGTGAAATTCTCTCTAACAGAGAGAGAAAGAGAGACAGAGAGAGAAAGAGAGAGAGACAGAGAGACAGAGAGAGAGAGAGACAGAGAGAGACAGAGAGAGACAGAGATAGACAGAGATAGACAGAGAGAGCGAGAGAGAGAGAGACAGAGAGACAGAGAGAGAGAGAGACAGAGAGAGACAGAGAGAGACAGAGATAGACAGAGATAGACAGAGAGAGCGAGAGAGAGAGAGACAGAGAGAGAGAGAGAGAGAGAGAGAGAGAGAGAGAGAGAGAGAGAGAGAGAGAGAGAGAGAGAGAGAGAGAGAAAGAGACAGACAGACAGACAGACAGACAGACAGACAGACAGACAGACAGACAGAGAAAGAGAGACAGACAGACACAGACAGAGAAAGAGAGAGGGCATGGACTATGCATGCAACATTTCCTCAAAGAATGAATGAATCCATTACAGGCTTCACCAACTGTCCTGTACTACCATCTTCAGTACCTCGTCGTTAAATTGACCTGGTATTACTTGTGGGTTATATTTGGACTATTGACTAACCGCACAGACATCTGCTCGAGCTTCCGGCTTGACTTCAACTTGTCGCTCTGTAGGAAAAACCCGAAAGACAGCACAGAGGCAAATTGAGCTTCAGTTGAAGATTTACAGCCCGTGTTTGAGTAAAGCAGAGAGACTTGACTATATCTACGCATGGACATTGAAAATGTCCACTTATGTACATGAAAATGAATGACCTTACTGAAACAACTCCACATGTTCACTAGTTGAGTGAAAAACTCCATATGAACATTAAAATGTTCACACTGTTCGAAAATGGAAATCTGCGCTGAAAATCTAATCTGAAGAAACAGTTACACTCAAATGGCAAAAAAAAGGTTGTCAATTAGTCATACATCCACAGCATTTTGGCAAATAAATAATACCGCGGCTTGTTAGACATAGTTCTCCTTTTTTTAACACAGTAAAACATAGTTCTCTACATCCTAGCCTTGGCTCCTCTCCCCCCCCCCCCCCCCCTAAAAAATCACCCACAGCTCCCCCCCCCTTCCCCCCCCACCCCAAAAAACACCCACAGCCCCCCCCCCCCCCAGACGATCCACCTGGTAATGTCCACTCCCCATTTCCAAGAACTGGATTTTCTTGGGATATGAGATGCATTGAGGTGATTTGCTAACTTACTGAAAATCTTTGCTTGGTAGCATGCATTTTCTGTGAATTGTTTGCTGCTTCCTCAGCAATGCGGTGATTCACTTGCCTCTCCTTTTTCACCTGAAGTGTTAAACATAAACCGAAAAAGATACACACGAAAACACACTTGATCACATGAGCAAATATGAAAATGTACAAGAAAAAAGAAACTCGAAGCATAATTTGACATTATGTTGCAACGTCACACATTCTCCTGCGACACAGATTCAACAAATACATGTCGCTCAAGGATTCATGAAAAAAATGATTAGAAAATGATACTTTTTGCTCCATTTTCTGTCTAGATAGCGGTTACCTTGATTTTCAAAGCATCACATCGCTTGATAAGCCTCTCCACCTGCTCATGAAAAGGCGCATGCAGGTACACACACACACACACACACACACACACACACACACACACACACACACACACACACACACACACACACACCAACACACAGACACACACACACCAACACACACACACACAAACACACACACACACAAACACACATGAACACACATGCGGCACACGCAAAAACTACATTAATTACGTACAGGGTCATGGTGGTTGTGGTGAGGTACTTTGGTCTGAAGCACAGTCATTATAAAAAGTAAAAAGAACTAGTGAAGATTAATAAAAAGAGTTTGCTTTCACGATCAAATGTCGGAATTCCCTCTTTGCACCATAATCTACAAGGCGCCCATGCTCACAAGCAGTCTTCACCTGAAAAGCATGGAAACATGCTCCCAACAATCTTCAATATTAATCATGAGATCGATGCAACGAGCAGAATTTTGAATTTTTACACTTGTTTTATAAGCAACAACATCATCAGGGTTACAGAGCGCTTGACAATCAAGCTCCCAGTGTGTATTTCATTGGGTGCCAGAGAGATTTCAAACCCCTAACTCAACCATCCAATATCCCATCTGCCACCAAGATTATGCTATAGAGAAGTGGTAGAGGTCCAATAAAAGCCAACACTAAGGTTTCATAGACCCGACACCATAGCAGATAAGCATCACCCAAAGCTGTAGACAGCAAGCTGTTTCAGCCATAGAGGCCTCATCAGTACAGCTACGAGCTTTAAGCAAGCCGAGCTACCAGCCATGGTGCAAAGGAGGCACCACAAACATTAAGATAGCTAGTCGCTCTAGCGCCAGAGTGCTCAAACTACAAAAAGGAGCGAGAGATGCTTAATGCAGCAGCACTAGAGCAGCCTACCGAGAGGGCTCAACAAGACGAACGTCGAGGAGCGCAATGCCCAATGCAGACAAGCATTATTCAGATTTCAACAGCCAGAAGGATACAGTTGTAATTCTGCCTGAGTGTGCATGAAGCCACCTTAATCTTACCAACTTCCCAATGTCCACGTACCTCAATGGTAGTTGATGAAAGCTGTTTTCTCAAGTCAGATGCAATGTCTTCAGAATTGTCCAGCTCTTTTCTGAGATGATTCACGGTCCCATTCAGCTCACTGACATCAGAAACACAACCCAAAGAGGAACAAGGTGCAGAACATCTGTGTTCCCCACAAAATATCAAAGTTTGCTCCTCCAGTAATGCATATTCAACAAACCATCACTGTACAGTGGACCAACACCTTGGCACCATGAGTTAACTACATCAGTCTACCCAGTTCCACAGTGACCAGGTTTTCTCACTTTCTAGTCCCCACTAGTTAGCACCAGCAAAAAGCATCAAAATTACTGTGAGACCCGGTCAGACTCAGTGATTTTTCCCGCATTCGTACAAACACAAGCACCTTCAAGGATCAAGGTGCAGATGCTGCTCCCAAGCAGTGGCATCAGGAGATATGTTTAATCAAATCAAGCTACCCATTCTCAAGTTTTTGAACTGATGCTGTAGTACTGAAAAATTGGATTCGAACTGAATAATGAAGCACTGTCCACTACGGCCAAACTCACATATTTTCTGCGGCAGTATCTTCTGCTTTTTTCTGTAGACCTTGCAATTCCAGAGAAGCATCTGCAGTTTATAAAGAACAACAAAGCACAAAGTAGGACAACAGTAATACTTCTTCCGTATAATTATTCAATATTACAAAACCCCTGTGTGGAACAGGGAATGTAGTGTGTCTGCAAGTTCACTAGTACGGGTGTGTTGTCCCTGCCCTTTTGGAGGGTATGTGCCCCTTTTGGCACGTGCGTGCGGACTGCGCAGGTTGCGCATGCGTGCATGCTTATCGTGCGCATCCTGGTTGTTTTGGGTGCCTTCTTCTTGAGACTCTCTTTGGAGCAACAACAATAATCTGTTCTCTGAGTGTGGAGTCCGTGTGATATGAGATATCGAGAGTAATCGGATTTCTGCCATTCCTTCTTGTGGTTTTTCTTGTCTGAATTTTGGCTCCTAGTATTGCTGAGATGTTTGCGTCAGTCCATGTTTCTTTCTTTCTGTGTGTGTCTCTGTGAGTTTTCGTAGCCCCATCGGCTGCGTGATGGTTTTCCGGACAACTCCTGTGCTGTCAGATGACTGGTCACCCGGTTCAGCTGCCGCGGTCTTCGCAGTACCGTCGGTTTGCCTTGGCTTCGCACCAGGGCGAGGTGGTTGTTTTCCGGGGGCCCACGCCTGAAAGTATGGCGGTTCCCTCTATGGGTGGGCCCAGTCTGTTTTCTTTCCACCCCTTTGCTTTGGCTTTTCCCCCGTTGTCCGGAGTTACTAATGTATCCTACTGTTTTGGCCCTGCGTATCTGTATGTACTTGTTCACATTTGATTTCTTTTTCTCCTGTCTTTCTTCTCATTTTTTTCTCTCCCATCCTCAGGAGAGGATGCATTTTTTTTCATGTGGCCGTATGTTGTCCCTGCCCTTTTGGAGGGTATGTGCCCCTTTTGGCACGTGTGTGCGGACTGCGCATGCGTGCATGCTTATCGTGCGCATCCTGGTTGTTTTGGGTGCCTTCTTCTTCAGACTCTCTTTGGAGCAACAACAATAATCTGTTCTCTGAGTGTGGAGTCCGTGTGATATGAGATATCGAGAGTAATCGGAAGGGCTATCGTGCGAGGGAATAACCCCCCCCCCCCCCCCCCCGACGACAGGTGCATTGAAGTGTTCCAGCGTAATCATATCGTGTCATGTATGAATGTTTATCCAGAGGAGAATTGAACCAATATCACTCTGAGAACAGGGCTGTCAGAGTAAAGGCTCGCCAACAATGATTCAAGCAGTCAGAAGCTGACTGGAGTAACAGTTGAGGGATAACCATAGCTTTCACAGTATTGTCGTTGGCCTGTTGGTCTAGGGGCATGATTCTCGCTTTGGGTGCGAGAGGTCCCGGGTTCAAATCCCGGACAGGCCCAATTCAATTTTTTTAAAATGTTTTTTACATATCTACCAATATTCAGCAAAAGCTTCAAAGGCCTACCTGTAACTTTAGAAATGAGATCCTTTTTGTCATCCTGAAGTGCCTGAACAAAACACAGAGCACATAATGTTTGATGAACTTCAAGCCATGTTCAGATTTACTCTGGACTTAATCGGGTACGCTCGATCCTATCAAAAACTGAATAAGAATTATACTCAATAAGCACACAAGGCTGGAAGCCAAAGGCTAGCTTTATTTATTTATTTATTTTTTACTACAAAGCACTGGCCAGCAACATAAAAGGGGAGGTAGACAAAATTGGACAAGCGAACATTGACAACACAGAGGAGCCTGGCATGCGTGCCGATGAGGTAGGTCAACTTCCCCCGACCTAGTGGTCTCGGGTTCAACAGTTGGTCTACGCATCAGGAAGGGGAAATGGACAGAGAAAGGGAGAATGAGCATGAGGAGCTTCCCAGGAGAGGAAGAGTGAGAGAGAGAGAGAGAAAAAGAAAATGATAATAATAGAGACAACCGGTTATTCTCAGTGCTGGTGGACGTCAGTGGCCCATAGCCAATTGGTCTGGCGGAGGTGATGGTAGGCCTTGGTCTTGAATGTCGGCAATTTCTTCAGAGTTGGGCGTTCGGCGAGGATTGGGGCAGGCAGTGTGTTCCAGCTCTCCAGGACAAAGTATGGGAAGGAGCGGCGGATGAACTCTGGACTGGAGGCTGGCAGAAGAGTTGCGAGTTGGAAAGAGTGGCCACCGAGGGACTGGCGTTGCCGGCGCGTCCCGGGTGCAGCGTTAACTCTTGCTGGGGGAGGTACCATGTTGGTAAGCAGAGCTGGACCTGGTATGCATTGCAGCTTATACAGGTAGCACAGCCCGTAAACATGCCTTCGGATTGCCAGGCTGGGGAGCAATGAGGGGCCAATAACCTTCATGCCTCGACGCTGGACCAGGTCCAGCTGATGGAGGTGACAATGTGCCGCACTTGCCCAGACGAGAGGGGCGTACTCCATTATAGGCCGTACAAATCCTTTGTACACAGTTAGGCGCCCTGTACTGTCCAGGATCCGAGATGCCTTTCGGAGCAGGCCGAGTTGCTGGTTGGCTCTAACGGCAAGGGAACGGATGTGGGCCCGGAAGGAGAGAGTACTGTCAAATAACACTCCTAGCAGCTTGAGCTGGGGGCTCTCAGGCACCTGCATGCCATCAAATGTGAGCTGTGGGACATCCAGGGATGGTCTGTGGCGTGGGGATTATTGTGACAATAGTGACTCTGTGCTGCCATGCTGCATAATTATAGTGTGCAACTATTGGGGAGCAGACTTGTGTTTACTTGGGCATAATGGTTGCAGTCTAGCAGAGGAGAAATAAAGTAGGGAAATGGACAATATGTTGCCATGGATACATTGTGCATCAACCTTACCTTGATCTTTGCCTCGTTAGACTGTTGTATCTCCTCCAATTTTGTCTCCAGCTTCTGATACCGTCTGCAGATTCGAGGCAGTACAAATCACTGTCACCCATCAGTATTGGAAACCAGACACACGCCAATTTCACAAAACAGCTTAGTTTTCCTCGACATGATTACAGCCGTGGTGCTCATTTGGACCGTATCAAGAAAGAAGAAAAGTTGTGTGTGGCTCTGACAGACAAAAGATTATAGCTGATGTATGCTGAAGGAGCAGAGATCAAACGGTGAAACCCCAGCACAATGTGTCATCGAGGCATGTCTAAATAGTAAATATGGTAGCACGACAGTGAGCAGCACATGATGTTGTTTTTAAAACACAGAGCAGAACAATTAGAAAAAGTTGGTTCCGGCTTTCACGCAATGTGTAATAGTTCAGTTTGGCACTGCAGGAGTGTCGGAACCGGTGCGGCAGGTGCGGCCAAAGCTGCACCAATAATTTCATCTTGGGATTTTTGAAGCAATGGAATATGGGCTATTTGGGCCCAATTTCCCTAAAATGTACCCAGGGGGAAGACCCCTGGACCCTACACCTATTCATGGTCGCACCAATGCCGGATACCTTCTGACGCCCCTGTTAACTGTGAATTGTATGTTGGGACGATTAACTTACTCTTGCCAAGAATCCACTGCACTGGACATCTCCTTCTTGCTGGTGAGCTGTGACTGGCGCTCTAGCAGTGTATCGTGTGCCGTGCGCATATCACTGTGAGTACTACCCAGTGCGGTGAACGCCTCTTGAAGCTTTCTGTACTTCTTTTGCAGTTTGAGCAGGTCCTGGTGCTCTGAAGATACTGAAAAGGATGGGAACACAATGGAGGCCAGAGTACGTTAGTCACCTCTTCAGCTACTCACGCAGGCCATGGAAATGGAGAATCTCTCTGAAAAACACGAAGACAGCTACTTATATTGTTTTGATTTTATAGGATCCAGTCAGTCCAGCCCCCCCCCCCCCGTTCATCACCATTATCACCACCGCACCAGTACAAACACAAGACAGACACTTCCTAGTGAGATGATGGCAGTGATCATTTACACTTTCAATCACCTTCCACTAAAAACACATGGACTTGACTGCACTCCTAAAGAGACACGCTTCAATCCCAAGGTTGTTAAAGAAATGTCAAAAGAGTCACCCACATTCAGTTACTTGCAGCTCCTGCCATGGGCCATATTCCCGGTATGTTTCCATAGTTGGTAAGTGCATGGCAGTAATCACACAATGACGCCACAGAACACCGACCTTGCTCCTTTGCCGTGGCCGACAAGACTTTGCTCTTCTTGTGGAGTAGCTGATTTCTCTCCAGTAAGTTCCTATTCTGTGCTTCCAGTGTGTCACATCTCTGTTCAAGTGCATCACTGCAGAAAACACAGTAGCAAAAACAGCAACGAAACGAATGATCCACGATTGAAATATTCTTGAACATGATTGAATATTTCCTCAATGACTGACACACTTTGGGCCAAGCCCACGCGAGCATGCCACCACCTTGATGAAAACACATGCACCTCGCACATATGCACACACAGACACTGGCGTACCCATGCACACACATGGTTTGGCAACTTGACAGACTCACACACAGCTAATTCCTAAACAACTCACTTTTTTGTATTGAAAAAAAACAAAACAAGAAAAACAAAACAGCCATCCCAAACAACCAAAGGGAACCTACTGTGGCCAAAGAACAGCATGCGTAGAAAGCTCAGGGGCAGATCCAGGAGGGGTTCCAGGGGTGCTGCGGAACCCCCTAAATTTCTTAAATGTACTACTGCCTGGCAATCATATGCGTGTCCATGTACATGTATCAGCTACTAGTACATGTACATTTTTGACTATACTGGACCCCCTCCCCCCCCTGTAGAGATGGCTGGATCCACCGCTGAAGCTGGTGGGCACAGCACGTGCAGATAGCCAGTGCATGCAGACCTAACAATCTATACGCATTGTAGAGTCAGGCAAACAAGGTGTAGTGCTCACATCCAAATAGGATCAAAGCATGCAGAAGTGCACAGTGTACAACGCACTGAAACGATTCAAAAACAATAGTACTATGCTGAACAAGGAGGCATGTTGGTTGCATCCAGTTACAACAACTGGCATGGACGCACCCCCGCACCAATTTTACCCACACACTCAGCCACACATACACAGGCACATAAAATGTCGCACTGAGCTAGAGCTTGCAATGATCTCTTTCTAGCCTCTAATGATATGCACAAGTAAGCAGTCCGACGTAAAGGATGTGATGGTAGACCAGTTCCATGAAAGCAATGACCTGTCAAGGGCTAACTCCAACTGCCCAGTGGGCCACTCACATACTGCACACCGAGGCACGCGAACAACCAACGGGGCCACAAACCACCCATCCTCGAGGCCACAAACCGCCCATCATCGAGGCGAATTTAGCTTGCCCACTCTGGGCCCAACAGCCATTGAGGCCAAGAACCCGGCCCACCAAGAACTCAAACAATTGCCTAGTTTCAGGCCTTACACAATAGTGTTACGTGCTCTTGCGTGCACGAACACATGCACACAAAGACACGCACAGGCACACACATACACACACACACACACACTTAATAGGCGATCAGGTTTCTCTCCCCCTCTCCCTTCTCCCCTCTCAAAAAGATGTTTCAGCTTACCGCTCTTCCTGGCCAAGACCACCGCGATATGTCCGGTCATGTTCCATAGACTGCAACACATAGAACACATCATCATAACAAGAATTTATATAAACACAGTCAGGAATGCACACCAATACGCGAATACGCAAATGCGCGCACGCACACACACACACACACACACACGCGCACAGCTTCTCACTCAGTTGCACAATCTCTTTCTCAGTACTCCATCATCACGTAGTCAGTCGTCTCTCTCTCTTTCTCTCTCTCTCCCCCCCCCCCCTCTCTCTCCCCCTCTCTCTCCCCCTCTCTCCCCCTCTCTCCCTCCCTCCCTCTCCCTCCCTCTCCCTCCCTCTCCCTCCCTCTCCCTCCTCTCCCTCCCTCTCCCTCCCTCTCCCTCCCTCTCCCTCCCTCTCCCTCCCTCTCCCTCCCTCTCCCTCCCTCTCCCTCCCTCTCCCTCCCTCTCCCTCCCTCTCCCTCCTCCCTCTCCCTCCCTCTCCCTCCCTCTCCCTCCCTCTCCCTCCCTCTCCTCCCTCCTCCTCTCTCCTCTCTCCCTCTCTCCCTCTCCCTCTCCCTCTCCCTCTCCCTCTCCCTCTCTCTCTCTCTTCTCTCTCTCTCTCTCTCTCTCTCTCTCTCCTCTCTCTCTCTCTCTCTCTCTCTCTCTCTCTCTCTCTCTCTCTCTCTCTCTCTCTCTCTCTCTCTCTCTCTCTCTCTCTCTCTCTCTTGGTCACTCCCTAAATACTATCTCTCTCCGCACCTTTGTTGCTCCCTATCACCAATGTCTTCCCCAAACTACCTGGTTGTATTTGTGAGTGCTGGGATAGAATAGCTTCCAAGAAGTGCAAGAGTATGATAACAACTGCAGTGGACCCTCTTCAGTGTTGATGTGTCTCTTTCTCAGTACTCCATCATCACGTAGTCAGTCGTCTCTCTCTCTCTTTCTCTCTCTCTCTCCCCCCTCTCTCTCCCCCCCCTCTCCCCTCTCCCTCCCTCCCTCTCCCTCCCTCCCTCTCCCTCCCTCTCCCTCCCTCCCCTCCTCCCTCCCCTCCCCTCCCTCCCTCCCTCCCTCCCTCCCTCCCTCCCTCCCTCCCTCCCTCCCTCCCCTCCCTCCCTCCCTCCCTCCCTCCCTCCCTCCCTCTCTCTCTCTCTCTCTCTCTCTCTCTCTCTCTCTCTCTCTCTCTCTCTCTCTCTCTCTCTCTCTCTCTCTCTCTCTCTCTCTCTCTCTCTCTCTCTCTCTGTCTCTCTCTCTCTCTCTCTCTCTCTCTCTCTCTCTTGGTCACTCCCTAAATACTATCTCTCTCCGCGCCTTTGTTGCTCCTATCACCAATGTCTTCCCCAAACTACCTGGTTGTATTTGTGAGTGCTGGGATAGAATAGCTTCCAAGAAGTGCAAGAGTATGATAACAACTGCAGTGGACCCTCTTCAGTGTTGATGTGTGCAGCGCAGATAGTGTTGAAAGAGAAACAGCACCGTGACTGTTCCATGCACTACCAGTGTGATCAAGAGCATTGCAAAGCACTGCGAGAAGAGCCACAGCAGTTAAAAGTACAAACAGGTGCTGCGGTTTGAAGTATCTTACCAAGGAAATCTTCCCATTCTCTTCAATCAGCTTGACAACTCTGCGCTTCACCCTCTCCAGCTCGGCCTGAGCAAAAAAACACACAGTGTGACACACGAAGATATTGTCTATCACCATGTCCCTCGCACCATGAGTGGTGTGTTGACCAGAGTTCAGCCAGCATGGGTGTGCACCGGCTTGGGCGAAGAATCACTGGGCAAATATTGATTTCTTGTATCACACATCCAAGGCATGGGAGCTGTGCCACAGGTATGCATAGACAGGTGTGCATAGGCAGGCATGCATAGACTGAGATTGAAATCCAAGGCAAGTACTCTATTGCAATGTAACCAAATGTAACGAGAGATCACGGAACATTCGGCATGAGCTGTGCAGAATTCTGTATGCACACTCTCACCAGCAAGAGAATGTATGAGTTAGGACAAAGGCTAGTTAAAATTTACATCAAGGAATCATAGCAGGCAGTGCACTGTTTGGATAGCTAAGCATGCCAATAAGATAACGCCAGATCAGAAAGCTGATCTTCTGCTTTATCTTCGTGAGAACGTTATCACGTGACCGTTGTATCCCACACATACCTCTTGCCTCCGGATGAACTTGTCCTTTTCCTCTAAGCGCTTGTCATAGGCTACGAGTAGAGGACACAGGCCTTCCGTGTTCATCTGCTGGACGGGAGACACGCAAGAAAGGAAACAACAAAGTAGGGAAGACGTCTAGCCCATCTTAGCGGCCTGCTTGGCCTATGAGCCGACACACTGCAAAGCACCCGCAACCAACACAGTTACGGCGTGCGATGATCTGACTCAGAATGTAAACCCAGTACATATACCTATACCTGCACCGCATACACACAAAGGCAGGCACTGCAGCTGCTGCTGCTACTACTCGCTGCTCAATGTGCTGAGCCGTTCACAAACGGGCAACAACACAATAGAACACGTTAATTTTTTTATGTGGTCACGGTCTGCTAGTTTCCCCACAATCAGACACCCTGAGGACAGTCATGCTAACCGGATACTGATTGATAGCTGACATACATACACTAAAGGCTACGCATCGCCCGCTACTTTCGTAGTTTGAGCATTCTGGCGCTAGAGCAACAAGTTACCTTAATGTCTGTGGTGCCACCTTTGCACCTTTGCACCATGGCCGGTAACTCTCACTTAAAGCTTGTAGCTGTACTGATGAGGCCTGTATGGCTGAACTCCGACAGCTTGCTGTCTACAGCACTGGGTATCCCAGGCCAGCTATCCCAGGTCAGCTATCCTGGACGCTGCGTTAGCTCTTACAGAATGTGTTTACCTCTACCACTGTACCCACTACATTCTTCTGGTAGGTCTATACCCAGTTACAGCACTGGTCATGTCACATTTGTGCTGGTACACATTTTCCATTGTTCACGTGCATACCAAATCAGGGAGGGGGGGGGGGGCACTACTTACCGCTGACCGAGATCTGCTCCCTGTAGTAAACACTCCACTTGTCGACATCTACATGTACAACAGAAACAAACGCAGTGTTCCTATGAGCTATTAAAACCACTCAGCAGTGACTACCGGTAGATATTCTGCTTGATTCCACAACATCCTTGCTTGTCTGCAGGTGCAGAAGTACACTCATGCACACACACACACACACACACACACACACACACACACACACACACACACACACACACACACACACACACACACACACACACACACACACACACACACACACACACACACATACGCACACACACACATACGCACACACACACATACACACACACACACACACACATACGCACACACACACACACACACACACACACACACACACACACACACACACATACGCGCGCACACACACGCACACGCACACACACACACACACACACACATACGCACACACACACACACATACGCACACACACACACATACGCGCGCACACACGCACACACACACACACACACACACACACACACACACACACACACACACCCCATTCATGCAAGCAATCAGACACCATCTGCAGTATTCGTTGGGAGATAGTGGTAGATATAGGTGGCCATGACACATGCAATACCCTCTGTGACCTCTTACCTCTTCATGTGTTCGATGGTCTTCACATTTTGCTTGCAGATACGCCAACTGCTCATTCTGATGATGCACTGTTACAACATGAACATTTTAAGAGCAACATATTATCAAGACAGCAGCAACAACAGCAGCCTGCACCAGCGTAAACTCCAGTGTTTGCAGCGCTAGAGCTCCAAACAACCTCCCGTGCTAGCATAATCACGAAAACAGACTCCACTATACGACATATGCCAGATGTACAAGACTAATTTCGGGCTTCAGTTTCCAAGGACAAGAACTAGGCAAAGAACTCTGCTCCAGCAAGAAAAGAGCAATGACAGACACTAGCCTAGCGTCACTGGAATTCATCTAACCGGAGGCTGAGCAGGAACAACGGGATAAATTGCTCTGTACTGTTCCTCCAATACACCACTCTCCATAGAGCGTTTTGCAATTGGAATTAGCAGCAGCTATGCCAGTTGAGATGCAAAATTTCTCTGACAGCTCCATGTCCAAGGCTGGAGAAGTGTGCACAAGATGTACGCAGTGCATGAAGTCCGAATGGCAACAACCAATCTACAGTGATGTGTATGCTTGTCAACGCCGTTCCGTTTAGAGTCTGAAACATTATTAAGTACAGCAAAAACAGCCTCCCAGCTCGTGTGTGTATATGTGTAGTATCCATGGCGCAGTGGTGCTGCAAACATCCTCCACTCCACGTGTCCACATATCAACAAACTCCAATTAAAATAGAGCCACCATATGCAGTACATATGGACACTTAACATCAACATACTTATGAGTTCGTAGTCCTGAATGCGGGCCCTAAGATGCTCTGCCTTCTGACGTTCAGCAAGGGCAGACGGTGAGTCTAGATAGGGAATTGGGAACATACAATTGGAGGAAGAAATCAGAAACAAGACAGAGTATACAATGGACATATTGATGGCTCAGTCTTGTGGCAGCATGTACGCCAAAGGTGCTGGTCCAAAGCTGTTCACGAGGGCAGGATTTAGCGCTGACAAACTGGCACCGCACACGACTACACAGTGATATGACAATGTGATAATCAGCCGTATTAACTTTTGATGGTACGGCCAATGTGGATCACAAGTATTCCGCCGTCTTGGCAACTTTTCAGACTGTCTATTCCTACTAAGATTTCATGAAAGGATGGTTTGCTGTCGGAAAAAGAGGTCTGGTCAGCATGATTCCTTCAACACAAAATACCAACCTGCGAAAACATCTCCCTCACATGAACACATGCACACGTGCCCACTCGTGCATGCCCAGCTTGCACACATACACTTGCACATGTACACACGTGCACACACCATAATAGATATGACCACAAACACACACACACACACGCTCGCACACGCATATCCACACGCGTGCGCGCACGCACACACACACACATGCGCGTGCACACGCATGTACACACGTGTCCGCGCACGCACACACACACACACACACACACACACACACATACAGACATACACACAAGAGACCTGACCTAGATCTTGTGCAGAATCCAGAAGTCGGCGTAGCCTCTCATTCTCAAATTGCATCTCTCTGTGTGCTTTCTTTGCGGCGCTGAGTTCGCGTGCATGGACTTTTTCTTTACTTCTGAGAGCATTGCTGGCTTTCTCGCTGGTAGTACCTGCAATGATACAGAACAACAAACACACAGGAGGATTAAGAACTCAGATGGTGAGCGAAGGAGAAAATGTAACAAGGAAAAATGTGGGTACAAGTTATGGCACCGAGTCCACTAACTAAACCAGATTTCAACAGTCAGACGTGCACAATCTAGCACAAAACTGACAAGGAGTGCTGAGACATTCCACGGCATGAAAGTCAGCATGAAGGGTTGTCCTTCCGATTTGGAGTACATGAGGTGATTGAATGTCTAATGAGGATTAGCCAGCCTGGTGACAATATTGTTGTCCTGTTTATCAAGATCCAATGCATAAGATGCCTCTCACTCGCGTTGACAGCAGTACAGTGCCATGCTAGAGTCAAGGCAATGTTGCCTGTTGGTGATGAGAAGAATTGCTTTCTAGTCTTCTTTGCTCGTGCATGTGCCCAGCAGGGTGCTGCTCTCTCAGTCATGTATGAGCTCACCAGCAGACAACCAATCAAACATGCTCTAAAGGCATACAGCGACTAGGGTGCCGTGAGCAAGAAACACACTGAACTCTACCATATAGACCCATCTGAAACTCATCAGCCCATTATCACATCCTCAACCATCACCAGGAAACTGAGTTGATCATTTTGCTAATACTTAGTATATGCAACATGTTCAATCGATTTCTGGTCAGGGGATCATCATCAGGGGTGATAAAATTAACCAACAAGACTAAGAAATTTGCACTTCACCAGTAAGAGTTTTGGAATTGGTTATGGGATAAAAACTGAAAGTTGGTCCTACCCGAAGCGATATGTGAACAAACTTACCGGCCATTTGGATGTGTGTTTCCAGCCTGGTTACGAGCTGCTGGTTATTCTCTCTCAGCGATTCGTTCTTCTTCCGCAGGGCCTTCACAATCTTGGCATGCTCCTTCTCGTGGGCTATTTGCTCTTGTTCGGCGTCCCTCATCTGCATGATGAGAGCCTGGAGGCGCTGGCCAAGAACGACGTCATCTGGTGTGGCTGGACGATCGTTGACTTTGCCAAAGGCTTTCAACAAGGAGTTCGCCTGATGAAGTGCACTTCTCTGTTGATTGATGGTGTTTTCTGGAGATCCTTCATGAAGAAAGGATTCACTAAGAATGGTCGAGGGTAGGCCATGTCCTGTTGATTTCAGCAGACTGCCGTAGGACTCATCAGACTCTATTGCCGGCACTGCGGAATGTGTGCCCATGAAAGCCCCTGATGCACTTTGATGTAATGGACTTTCATACTCGCCGGCACGGCTTTCGGGGTTCACGAATGCCTCTGCATGTGCCTGGGGAGCTGCTGCAGGTGGCTGTTGCTGGATTCTCTCTGCCATATTCTGGGCTAAAGCTGTTACAAACTCAGCTACCGAAGCTGGCACGTGAACTTGTTGTAGTTGCTGCTCAGGAAGTGCAGTGCCAGGAAATCCTGCATCCTGCAAATGAGACTGAATGACTGCACCAAGTTGATCTTGGGCTGGTGCTTGTTGCTGCTGCTGCTGTTGTCGTAGTTGCTCCATCTGTATCTCCTGTATTTTCTGCAGTTGAAGTTGCATCTGCTCTTGCTGCTGCTGTGCTAGGTCCATGGCAGTCTTCTGCTGCTGGGCCAACAGGAGAACGAGTTCATTGCGGTCTCTTGTGGAGTTGGCAGCAGAGGATTCGGACACGTCGCTGCCGTTGTGTGTGCTACGGCCATGGCCTACCGGAGCATGGCCTTTACTTCCGGAATGTGATGCGTCGGAAAGAGGCACTCGTGTAGCATGCCGCTCAGCACTGGACTGTACCTTGTCTGCAGGACTAGACGATGCCACGGGAGTCCGTTGCCCACTTACAGCTGTTTTCTTCGTCTTCTTCTTAAGGCTTGCACTGTGTGCTGGTGTAGCCACTTTGCCAGGCACAGCATCAGGATGATACAGAGCCGTTTGCTGGATGCCAAACTTCCTTCCACTCTCATCAACTGATCCGTCCCGGCGATAAATCAATGTGTTGTATTCATTTGCATCGGACAGCCGGTGAGGCTCTTGAGCTGCAGCAGCAGCGCCATCCACTCTGGTATCTGATATGCGGCGACTCCTTCTCGCTGAGTTGGCAGCCGCCCGGGAATAGGGGCCTGCCGCCCCGTCCTCTAGCTCATGATAAACAACGCGTGTGGGTGGCAAAGGAGGAGATAGACCTAGAAGAGGAGGTTTGGGACTCTTTGCCTTAGCTTGTAATCGACGTGCTCTACTATTCTGGGAGAAGACCTCAGTCAAACTCTGACCAAGGCCTATATGGATGGGTGTCATGTCGGCTAGGTTTGCCTCGCTGACGGCAGACTTGAGACGTGCAGGCTGCGCTGACATGGGCACGTAGGCAAGATGCTGAAGACTGCGCGACCTTCGTCGGTTTGGATGCTTGCTGTCGCTCCACACCTGCAAGTGATGATGACCATCGGAGCTAGCTGGCAATGGTGACACCTCAACACTGCCAGAGCGTCCCCGGTCCAGTTCGTCATCATCGCCATCATCGAAGTCTGTAACAGAGGAGAAACTCAGTTCACTATCCTCCAGAGTGCGAGCCGGTATCAATGGCGGCGTTTCCCTCTGTCCATACTGCGCTGCAGATGCTGGACTGGTTGAGGTCTAGAGCAAAAACAGATATAGAATAATGAAACCAGAAACATAGGCCATCCAAGTCAATACTAATACACACACACAAATACACACAGACACACACACACACACACACACACACACACACACCCATCATGTACCATGTACCATGTATATACCCGATGCAAGAGAAGCAAACAATACTGTTGCACAAGAGTGCTCTTTAGTACCACAAGCTGGTGTGGATCTGGCTGGTGTGCATCTGGCTGGATTTCAAGCACTCAGCTGTAGGTGTGCACTTGATTTCATGAAACAGGATACGAAATGGATACCGTATTATCTCCATAATAAGCCCAGCGCCTATATTTTTTCAACCAGTCCGGACCCCGGGCATATATTAGAGACTGGGCTTCTACAAGAGACTGGGCTTATAATTTTTCCACCGCCAGGTACATGTACATTGCCAATTATTTTGCATTGTATCATAGCACAAAGTTTCCCAGGAGGTACCGGGACTGCAGTTTTGTGCTTCCTGGTACACTGAGTGAGTCTGAATTTTAGATCTCGGGGATCACAGACCTTTACCACAGCAATCAGCATGTGGGTATGTGACACTTTGTGACGTCAAACATGCATGGACATGATCCATACAGCTTTCCAATATAAGCCCTGCGCTTATATTGGAGACTGCGATTGTTTATCTTTGAAGCCCTCTTGGAGTGTGCTTATAATAGAGACTGGGCTTCTACAAGAGACTGCGCTTGTAATAGAGATAATACGGTATTACCAGGATGCTTGGAGAATTCCAGTCAGGGCCATCGCAGTCCGGCTGAAGCAGCCCCACTTTTTTGGCCATTTCTTCTCTGCGATGATCGCAGCTCAGCGCAAACGTGCCAAATAATGAAGAATCCTTGTCCCCGATCTTGGTTTATTGCAGAATCAAAAAATCTCTTATTGCAGTTACACTGAAATGGCACCAAATGCCTGAAAATGTTTGCAATAGGCTTCATTTTTTGAAAAGTTTTCCCGGGGAGGATAATGAAAAACCCTTGTCCCCGATCGTCGCATCTTCTTGATTTGTTGCAGAATAAAAAAGTCTTTCATTGTAGTTACACTGAAATGGCACCAAATGCCCGGAAATTCTTGTAATTGGCTTCAATTTTTGAAATGTTTCCGGGGGAGGCCCCCCCCCCCTTCCATGGCTGCCCCACCTCCAAAGTCGGTGCGACAGGCCTGCCAGTTGCCATCAAGTACCAAAGATTTTATAGATTTCTTGCTTCAATACATTCATAAGATATCCACCAAGGTAACTACCTCAATACCATATTTCCCCGTAAGTAAGTTCTCCCCAATGACTTTGTACCCCCCCCCCCCCTATAAAAAATACACTTTCCACTGCCGAGTTTATCATCCCGAAAGACAGTTCCCGCCGAAAGATAGTAAGTTCGTACCGCGTCCTACATGTACAGACACCGTACAGTACATACATCATTTGCACGGACACTAGAGTTGCGCAGGCTTCCCACTGCGTGTCATTTACCCCCGATAAAAAAGTACTCCCCGAAAGTTAGTACTCATGTGGCTGCTAAGTTCGAAAGTTAGTACGTACCAACTTATGCATGGGGGAAATACGGTACCTCAGTGTAAACCACACACTCTCAGCCTTCTTATAGGAGACCAAAGGCAGTACAAAGAAACATTCTTCCTGTTTTCAACAGCTAGTCAACAACGCACTGAAACCAAGTTGACCATTTTGACCAGTGATGTGCCCCCATCCCAAGCTCTGGCAGAAAATTAGGGCACACGACAGTGAGGACCATAGTAATTAATGGCTGAAACGTCTGCATAGATGGCATCAAACCATCTTGTGTAGCGTACACCAGACGCTGTCAGCAATAACAATGGGTGAGCTGCATCTTGTGCTGTTTGATCCCACGTAATAGAGAGGTTAAGATGCACGTTATTTCCGACGTGACGTCCAATTTCACTTCAAATTTGGCGTAAAACTCCAAATTTCGACGTGAGCTGCAGGTCACTCGCTTTGTTTTTCGACGTGCGAACCAAATAACACGAGCTTAACTTTCACATCACGTCAGAAATAACTTGCATGTTAACCTCTGTATTACCACAACAGGCTGCAGTGTGCAAGCCGCAACAAACAGCTGAACTCAGTATGCTGGATATAGGTGGCAAAAACTGGAAATGTAAATTCAGCTGACCTGTTTTGTGGAAGTCTTGCTGACTCTCGAGTAGCCCGGTTCCTCGGCATCGGTCCTACCTTCCAGGCTACCTACCAGCGACACTGTGGAAGCAAGCCACAAAGAAGCTGATCAGTTCTAGGATCGATGGATAAGTTCTAAAGCTAGTGAGTGGATCAGGGAGTGTGCGCAAAACTGATTTTTTTAATAGCAGCTTACAAAATGAAAATATCAATCATCAGATGAAAGAATGTGGTCACAACAACATTATCTCCGCAGCATTTTCCTCACTAACATAATGATAGTAAAGAGCTGAACATAGGCAATGATTAACAGCATTGTGATTAAACCAAGAGAGCAGTCTGGTGCGGTGACTTTGCTTATTGTATTACACAGTTGGTGTGCACAACAGCGCCTCCACGCCTACAGGATCACAGTATTTTTGACATACCTGAGCTAATCTGCGGTGAGGCTAAACGGGGCCGTTGCCCATGGGCATTGACATCGGCAACTGCTGGTACACGCCTGGCTACCGCACCAGGCACCGTCAGCCTGTCATCCTCCAGCACCATACCATGACCATCGGACCTTGTATAGGTATAGATGGGGTTGGTGGAATCGGCTGACAGTCGCCCAGCGCCAATTGCCGAGTAGCCTTGAGGCACATCTAGAGTGCCGGCAGCCGTGTCCCGGCTGTCCTCACCTAGGCAACAACAGAACCATGAATGACAGTGTGAGTCAGTTGAGCATCTCCGTCTGAGACAAGGTTAAAATAACAGTGCAGTAGAGCATCCATTATATCCAAACTCTTCAGGGTGGACGCCAGTCAGACGGGGTTTGGAGGAGGGAAATGTTCGGATATGAGAGAGTCACAGCTACGCACGCAGCAGAGGGCACATACATCATACCCTGCATTGATGGCATACAAGCAGAGAAAATTGAAATTGCCTGGTAGATCTACAGGCTACACAACGAGTTGAACTCAAGTGCTGAGTCATGCATTGGGATGGGGGGAGGGGGGTTCCAACCATTCTAGATAGGGCTCAGGCTGCATATCAAATACGTAGGGTCATGTTACAGTGCCAGTATGTGAAACCAACTTCAATCTACATGACATTGTACACGTGCACAGGACCAGCGTCTTGTACTGAGCTGTGCTAGGACAGATGGCATGTACATCGAAATAATCAACACCCAGCTGCAATGCTTTCCTAGAGGAGCCTGCTGTGAACTACCCCGTCTGCACAGCCCAACATGCAACACACTCACAGCCCACTCGACATTGACCAATTACTTGGTTTTTGCACAAGAAGAACTTAAACAAAAAGACCAAGCCTGTACCCATGCCGTGAGCCATGTGCTATGTAAAGCCACGCCCCTCTTCTATACCGCCATTTCCCAGTAATGCGTACCGTATGTGATTTTGGGTGGACCGCTTTGTAGATGATGTGTAACAGGTAGAGTACTCTCTGCTGCCTCCTGATTAACTGTCAGTAGTGCCAGCTGGGCAGCCTGAGACAGAACCGTTGCCGTGGCTTCGGACTGTTTGAGAGGACTGGGCGCGTGTGGCACAGCTGCAAGGGCGATGCTGGGCAGGAGCTCGCCGACTGTGTCATTGTCCTGTGGGAGAGAGAGGATCAAAATAATTTGTTGGAACCAGGCCTTCGCTTGACTAGGCCTTTTACCAGTACTGCAGTATATACAATAATATTACTACATAATGACAATATTACAATACATAATTCTTAGGCAAAGGAGCCACTCCAGCCTTCCAGGTTGTTCAACAATTTTTGTCTCCAAGGAAGTTGTTTGCTACATAGCATTAATTTGTAGTCATTGCCTCTCAATGGAGAATGTTAGCTAGGATTTTTGCACTGAATCGACTCTTTGGAGGACCCTGATCAGTTTAAAACTTCTCTGTATTGTGTGCATGTGTGTGTCTGCCTGTGTTTATTCATACGTACGTACGTGCATGCAAGCATACGTGTGTTATTTTTTAAACATTTCAACCTTGTTGTGGCTTGTCGACTCTTGTACAGGTACCATGTTTTACATCGACAATGCGGTGTATCATCAGCATGCATATTCTTTTTATTATTCTATTATGGCTTTTTAGGCCCAATTTTCAAAAAATTTCGCGGGGGACGACCCCCGGACCCCCCTCTCCCACTTTCGCCGCACCAATGTTAAACTCCTTCCGACGCCCCTGGTGTGTGTGTGTGTGTGTGTGTGTGTGTTTGTGTGTGTGCGCGTGCACGCGCGTGCGTGTGTGTGCAATCGTACATGCGTGCATGCTCAGCGTTGCGTTTCACTACAGACAAGCAAGTGTGCAAACCAAACCTAACTGCAAGGCTCCGAATCAGTTTTCCTCAACTCCTTTCTCACAGCTTTAGGCCCCCAGCTGCATCTGTGCATTCATCACTGTAGGCTGGTGACATTACTACGTATGTGGAAAATCCAGTCTAGCTGGTTCACACACGGCTGGTTTTTCAGTGGGAAGGTTCCATTACAAAAATACACCGTTCCTTACGAAAACCTCAAACCGTGGCAATAACGAAACACCGCTAGTATAAAAGAAGTTTCTATTAGGAATTTTGATTTGTGCAAGAGCACATCATTGAGCTTCCTGTTTGACTGTGCATGTACTTCTACTAGGTAATCGACCAGCCTTGACTATTTCATTCCGTAGAAGGTATGCCCGCTCATCAGTTCAGCTTCACAGTGGGGTTTCGGACTCGCTTGACAAGCTTGGACAGTATACCATACCATTGCACAAAATTCAAATGGATCAATGGGTAGCGAGTGGTGCACAAATGACCCGTACATACGAATCGTTGATACCGTTTTAGTCTCACCTTCGTTGCCTTCTTTTTGCGCGACGAAAAGAACTTCAGCGGCATTGTGGCACAGCCAACAGCAACGTGTTGGGATTGAACTAAAGTACGGATGCAACGTGAAGCCTTGTTTTTCAGCTACTTCTTGTCGCAGCCAGCGCTGCAACCGGCGAAGCGCTGTCACAGTGTCAGCTCACATCGCTGACACCTCAGCGAATAGACTTCTCAAATACTGACATGTCGGAGGTCTGGGTTATGAAGAAACTAGGTAAATATGTGGAGAAGCTAGGTTGCATCCATGACCCAGGATTCCTCCACCTCTTGGCTTTGGTCCCGGTTGTACTACTTGCTGTCGACCTACACTACAGACTACATGTAGTCAGAACGATTGTAGTATTTGTACTGATGTAGTATAGTAGCAAAGTGATGCAGTGTGAATAACAACGGTTGCTAACAGTAACACTTACCGACACTAACAGACTCAGTAACACCGTGAAGTGACAGGTACGACACATAGAGTAGTAGAAGTCACGTTAGCTGGCGCTCACTGTATCCCCGGAGCGTTATCCTGATGCGAAGGACTAAAGGGACCGTCACTTAATTTTTGCCGACTACCCGCCAAAAAAATCTTTTCGTTTCACGTGTCAGACACGTCCGCGAGCGCGTACGATCGACTCGCGCGCGCCCGCGCTACCTTTCACGTCAGGCTATCTGTTCACGCCACATGGCTGGATAGCGCGTACATGCAAACTTGATTGAAGACTTGCAAAATCAATTTTTTTCCAAGTCCAGGCACTAGGCGCTAGGCCTAGGCAGCACTAATCTGTAATCAGTCTAATGCCTAGGCTAATGCCCAGGCAGCTGACTTTATTTTCGGAGAAACACTACTCATTGTAGTAAAAAGTAACAATGAATAGCGATATCATCTAGGAAGGATCGCTACCCTAACGCGAAGGAAAGGCCTTGCGCGGCTGCTCTACGAAGTGTTGAAGAAAGACTCATCAAAGTTTAATAGTTGGTGGACGAACAACTCGCTGGCGCCGGAAAACTTGGCCCCCAACGATGGTATTTGGTGAATCATCAAGCATAATGTCTTGTAGCAGTGTTCACCGAGGAAGGAGAACGCTCTAGTCGCTGCTGTTGTCCGTTTCATCCACGTTGGGCGTTAGCTGCACCGCGCCTATTGTGTTTTAGTATTCCATGGACACACATTAGCATTCAGAGCGATTGTGGAGCCACAATTTACTTCACACAGCGTTGTATTGTCCACGAGCGCAAACTTCATTATCAGCAGTAACTGTTACTCTTCATCCTACATGTAGACTTGGAGTATACACGGCCTTGTCACGACAGCGACAGCTCTACAGAGTGTTCAAGTGAGAAACATTAATTTCTATTGTTGGTGGACGAATAAATGGCTGGTTCCGAAAAAACGCGGCCTGCACCGATCGTGTTTGGTGGATCATCAAACAGGGTGACCAGCAGTGTTCACCGAGGAAGGAGAATGCACTCGCCACCACTCCGATTCATCCAAGTGGGCGTTAGCTGCGCCGCGCCTATTGTGTTTTAGTATTCCATGGACGCACACTAGCGTTCTCAGCGATTGTGGAGCCACAACAAATCTTCATGCGGCGTTGCACTGTCCAAGAGCAGAAACGTCAGCAGTGACCCATCATCATACATGTAGATTTGGAGTATACACACCATGCGCCAATGGGCCTTGGCACAACAGCGGCAGCTCTATGGAGTGTTCAAGTGAGAAACATTTGTTTCGACTTTTGGTGGACGAACAAATCGTCGGTGCCGAAAAACGTGGCCTGCGCCGATGGTGCTTGAAACATCAAGCATTGTATGTGGTGACTGTCAGTGTTGATCGAGGAACTTGGAAGGAGAATACTTAGGCCGTCGACCGTTCATCCATTTCGTTAGCTGCACCAAGTCTATTGTGTCCTTGTATTCCATGGGCACACAATCATGAAGCATGGCGTCTGAGCTGTGTTCACAGAGCGGGGAGATGCTCTTGCTGCTATCTTATCCGTCCTGTGTATTCCCAAGTGCCGAAGGCTCACAACGATGGTGTTGGACAAGTCAGATAAAATAGAGTCAACGTAAGTACGCATGTGTACTCTTACTGACTGAAACATAAGTGGGGTGTAAGAGCTAATTCAAATGGTGTCGTGACATTCTCATGTACGAGGTTAGTGTATAGTACTTGTTACGTACTGAATTCTGTGACTTTGTTTTGTCTCCATATACTGCATGCATTCACGTTTCACAGTTATCAGTTTGACCCTGAGTTCATGTCTGTTATCCCGTGTCTCCTCTACTTATTTTTGTTTCCACACGGTTCATGGTGTAGCGCTGCACGTGTTCCGTTAGTTAGAACTTCAGCATAAATCGCAACTACTTGTACTTTCAGACATGTCACATGATTGTTGCCAGGGTTTGAGCCAATCAGAGCGTTTACAGGCAGGGCCTGAACCCCTGATCATGCCTTGCCTGCCAGCTCTACTACGATATTACATGTCACGTACCCGCGCGCGCGCGCACGGTTCTCCTGCGCTTGGGCTTGCTTTCCCTTGGTAGTTGGAAGTCAGTGGCTGTTAGTACTCTTAGATTATGTACAGAAAGTGGTGGACATCACGCAACTGCAGTGTAAATTAAAGGGTGGTTGTCAACTGACAACCGCATAATTTTTCGACATAATTAATAAGAGAATTTTCATCTAAAGAGTGAAAAGCAACTAAATAGAGCGGTTGTCGGTTGACAACCCCCCTTTTATTTAGATTATGTATCTGAAGTAAAAACAACATAGAAATATCACAATTGTCTCTTGTGTATTATATCCGTCTGATGTCACCAGATCGTCACACGGTGCTGTGACCAAGATACGGATCATGCCGAACGCTGATTCAACTGGACGAATCGAGAGGCTTTTCAGATGCAGGGACACAATGGAAACTGAATGACTTCAGAACAGCACTGAAGCGTTATGTTATCATGCAAGACGCCTTTCTGCGCCGCACAAACACAGGCGGTACTACAGCAGAAGATGTCACTCACTATTCTGCAGGTGCACTGGTGACAGGCGCATGCAAGTTCACCAGAAGGAAGCGGTCTGATGTTAACTGGAATGCCAGCAGTATGAGAGGGTGTGCATTCTGCGGCGGATCTCACCTGGACAAGAGCTGCGCGAAATACACAACAGTAGCACAGCGGAAAGAATAACTGATTGAACAGAAGCGTTGCTTTGTGTGTTTGCGCACAGGGCACCGGTCAACTCAGTGCAAGGCCACCCGCAAGTGTAATGTGTGTTCTCGCATGGGTCACCAATCAGAGTCCCCATCATGTCACGATCTGCCCTGAATCTCAACAGAAATCTGACAGCAGTACCAACATAGTAGCTGACCAGCCTGTGGCTGACGAGGTACCAGCATCTAGCGCAACAGCAGCTAGTGCAGCATCAACCAGTATCGCCATTGACCGTAAGATAGTCAGTCGTCTTGATCGGTGCAGATTTCCTCTGGGAGTCTCAGTTGACGTGGAGCACCAGAGGACTTCCGCCAGGACTACAGTTTCTGCCTACCACAGTCGGTTTTGTGGTGACTGGCCGAACACGTCACTCCAAGCACTCAGCTACGCCGATGAGCAGCCATGCCAGCTATCGTTTCTCTAACTGATGCAACTTCCGACTCCTGCACCATCCCAGATCTGTGGGACCTAGACTGTGTTGACATCCAGGATTCAGGCAATCTTACTAACAACGACCTAGCCATTAGGCAATTCATCATTGTTCTACGATTTTGCCTGCCACCAATCGTCATGACCTGCGATACTGAGAAGGCCATTTTACAAATCAGTGCCAACCCAGCATACAGAGTTGCGACACGATTTCTGTGGTTCGCCAACTCCGACAGTCCATCAGTCACCCCATCCAGCCTGTTCACGCTCATAAGCAGTCCATTTCTGCTTGGCGCGTCTATACAGCATCATTTGGCACAGCAAGATGACAAAACAGCTAGCAGTGGCTGTTGGTGAGAACATTTTCTGCTGTGCCATTGGAGTGTGCACGATACACGAACCCTGCTCTTTTGTTGGCACCGCCTATGTAACTTACTGCATAGGGTGCAAGGTGACCGTTGTCGGTTTACATGTACTCCAGTTATTACACCGTGCATGCACTGAGTCTGTGCTGCACTGTGCATCCATAGGTGTTCGTTTGCGGTAGCGCAAGGTGACACGCAAGGTTGATGGATAGTTTTGTCCGCTGCTATTCGAAGCTCTCGGAGTCGGAAGCGTTAGCTCTGTTTCCCCTGTTCCTCCCTGCGCGGAGTCTGTAGTTCTGGCTTGCAGTTGCTGTTACATGCATGTTGGCAGTTGCATGTGTGTTTGGTTTTCAGTTGTCTCTATTTGTTTTGTGTGGACGACAGTTCAATATTCTAGCAGTTGTTGCACTTCCTACTTCTGAAGTACATTCCGTAGTTATCTGCGGTTGGTGTTTGAGAGAGCAAACTGTGTTCTTCTCCAGAGTGGAGTAAACCATTCGCTTGTGTCTGAGGAAAACCCTGTGTGTTGACGAAGAGGTTGACTTGGCTGTAGAGTGAAAGTACCACATGGTCACATGGTCCACAAAATCTTAGAACTACTTGTAACTTAGGGTCTTCTGGCGTATGGTATAATTATATGAGCAGCATGAGAGTGAAGTAAAAGACTATTAGCTCAAACATTCAGTCTTTCAGGAGTAGGTGTTTCATCACGGAATAGGTTCTGCAGTTCACTTACACACTGCAACAATGGACCAGCAGTGTCCAGCATACAATAGAGTCATGTGAATATGAACCGTATGCATACTCACAGCTGCAAGGCCAGCGCCCCGTGGCTGCTTGACTTCTCAATCGATATAAATATTCACAACAGTAAGACTCTGTGATCAATCAGAGCTGTGCTTCGAAGTAGTCACAAATGCCCCATGATCAGTCACAAAACAAAACTTGGCAACCAGTCACAGCTTCCACGGTGCCCCAAGACCAGTCACCAGAAATGACCGTAGTAAATCTGCAGGGAGTTTCATAATCTGTTCATTGCAGAGTCCACTATGCTATGATTCAAGAGGGGGGTAGCGTTCCTGCGGATGCGGAAAACTTGGCTGGAGCCCGAGTGTCACGTGAACCCTGATTTTTAAGACTTATTATTTGTTTTACGATGAGCCTATTATACGCGATACAGGCTCAGAACACACTTTTCGTCTAGTTGGCATACCGTATATTCTCTATTATAAGCGCCGTGCTTATATTTTTTCAACACCCCTCTACCCCGTGCTTATATTGGAGACCGTGCTTATATTGGAGACCGTGCTTATATTTTTTCAACCAATGCATCCATACAGAGCAAGAAGAAATACATGCTAGATATTATGCATGCAGCATTGATTTCCACCAAGACCGTGCTAGTAATAGAGACTGTGCTTATAATGTTTCGAAAGGTGCTCACAGTGTGCTAGTATTAGAGACTGTGCTAGTAATGGAGACCTGTGCTTGTAATAGAGAATATACGGTATCAGGGATATAGGGCGGAGCAGCCCATATCCCCAATTATGACACGCGAGTAATAGTGAAATACGATTGGCGTATTGTGCTGGACTGACTGCGGTAATGTAAAGCTAAAATAAAGCAGTCAGTTTGCCCTTAGCATGGCCTTGTCATGAGGGTGCCACATCCGTGGAAAGGCAACATGCCGGCTAATCTCCCTGAGAAGTTGAGTGGTTATCAGCAGGCGATAACGCTGTGTCGATGATGACCTGTTGATGCCCGACAGGAACCTTGCGAGGAGAGTCATTGGGCCTGACGGGTAGGTAAAGCCAACTTCCACATGAAGTTTGCGGATGGCCGACATGTAGACATGGACAGATCGGGGCTGAAAAGTTCTGAACAACTCGGCAGCAAAATAACACATAAAGTAAAAAGTCATCACCTGGCAATGGATTCCAGTCATGCCCTTGACAGAACTGGAAGTAACGGGTATCGGCGGAAAAATATTTCCGGCTGGTGCCCGTGCTGCTAGCTGCAGCACGGAGTCCGGCAACTGAGAGTTGGCAAGACTGGCTGATCTGGCTCAGCTGCTGCTTCCGGAGCCCTCAATGGTTCAAACACCATCGGCGCAGGCCACGTTTTTCGGCACCGACGATTTGTTCGTCCACCAAAAGTCGAAACAAATGTTTCTCACTTGAACACTTCGTAGAGCTGCCGCTGTTGTGCCAAGGCCCATTGGCGCATGGTGTGTATACTCCAAACCTACATGTATGATGATGGGTCACTGCTGACGTTTCTGCTCTTGGACAGTGCAACGCCGCATGAAGATATGTTGTGGCTCCACAATCGCTGAGAACGCTAGTGTGCGTCCATGGAATACTAAAACACAAAAGGCGCGGCGCAGCTAACGCCCACTTGGATGACTCGGAGTGGTGGCGAGTGCATTCTCCTTCCTCGGTGAACACTGCTGGTCACCCTGTTTGATGATCCACCAAACACCGTCGGTGCAGGCCGCGTTTTTCGGAACCAGCCATTTATTCGTCCACCAGCAATTGAAATTAATGTTTCTCACTTGAACACTCTGTAGAGCTGTCGCTGTCGTGACAAGGCCGTGTATACTCCAAGTCTACATGTAGGATGAAGAGTAACAGTTACTGCTGATAATGAAGTTTGCGCTCGTGGACAATACAACGCTGTGTGAAGTAAATTGTAGCTCCACAATCGCTCTGAATGCTAATGTGTGTCCATGGAATACTAAAACACAATAGGCGCGGTGCAGCTAACGCCCAACGTGGATGAAACGGACAACAGCAGCGACTAGAGCGTTCTCCTTCCTCGGTGAACACTGCTACAAGACATTATGCTTGATGATTCACCAAATACCATCGTTGGGGGCCAAGTTTTCCGGCGCCAGCGAGTTGTTCGTCCACCAACTATTAAACTTTGATGAGTCTTTCTTCAACACTTCGTAGAGCAGCCGCGCAAGGCCTTTCCTTCGCGTTAGGGTAGCGATCCTTCCTAGATGATATCGCTATTCATTGTTACTTTTTACTACAATGAGTAGTGTTTCTCCGAAAATAAAGTCAGCTGCCTGGGCATTAGGCATTAGACTGATTAGTGCTGCCTAGGCCTAGCGCCTGGACTTGGAAAAAAATTGATTTTGCAAGTCTTCAATCATGTTTGCATGTACGCGCTATCCAGCCATGTGGCGTGAACAGATTGCATGACGTGAAAGGTAGCGCGGGCGCGCGCGTCGATCGTACGCGCTCGCGGACGTGTCTGATACGTGAAACGAAAAGATTTTTTTGGCGGGTAGTCGGCAAAAATTAAGTGACGGTCCCTTTAGTCCTTCGCTTATCCTGATACGAGTGGTCATGGTGATTCTGATTTATATGCCGGGATTGTACTGACTTCAAATTTGAGTGGTAGACCTCCATGTAATAGACCAATCCCGAAAAGATTGTCTGGGTTCGTGAAAGGGGGCACGCGTGCAAGCCAGCACGTGTGAAGTGCATCGTTTTGTATTCAGTTTGTGTGTGTCAGCTCATGGCGGAGGAGAGAGAGACTTTTGCTCGCCGAGCTGAAGCTAGAGGATTTGATGGAGTCCTGCCAGCAGCTAATCAAAGGACCTTCGGTACCTTAGGCAGACCCTGACGGAGTTTGGAGGCCAGATAGCTCTCGGTGAGGAGAGAAACATTCGCGTGGCGATCGACTCTCCGTAAAAAATGCAAGCTACATAGCGCCGACATACTGCAACAGCTACGATTTCAGCTAACTAACGTTACTTCTCGATCTGCTGCTTCACAAAGTTCAACTATTTACTAGTCCTGACTGTTGTAGTCTGAAGCTGGAGTCTCATCGCCCACCTACAGGTAGCTTTTGGAGCTGATGGATTTCCCGACTTGGACTCCTTCCGCAAACTCTCACAACATTACTACAGTGTATGCTGTGTTTCCGCACGTTCGTGTCGACATGTCACCTATACTGTACATGTACCGGGTCGCGGAGGAGCTTGACGACCTCCGCTGACTCCAGGTTTCCGAAATACTGCCGTCGTCTTCGTTGATGTCGCTGGTGACATTCTCCCCTTGCAGGACGTGCACATAGTTGTCGTCCTGGGGGTAAAGACTGTGTTGTCTTTCGAAATAGTTCTTCATCACGCTCGCGCGAATGATGTTTCTCATCATGAACTCGTTCCGACGGTGTGACACGGCGATGGTCTTTGGCGGGGCACTGGCTTGGCCAAAACGATATCTTCTGGTGCAATATAACATTGATCGGCTGCAGATGAGTACAGTCACTTCGTGGTTGGTCCTATAGGAGGGCAGCTGCCAGGAAAGAGGCAGGACTCATCGAAGACGAAGCGCTCGCAACAAACAATAGCCCTCGAAATATCTCGTAAGATTTAGGGCCTATCGCTTTGAGCCACAGCGCTCACAGCCTTGCCTACTTCATCAAAGTGAGCTCTACATGTTCGTTGACCTCTTCACACTACACAGAAGAGCGAAACAAGGATTACCTCTAAGCATTTCAACTCCAACAGCAGACCATTACCAGTGCGAGAGAGAAAACTACAAAGGGCTTCGTTTTCTGTCGCATCGTCTCTCTAGCATGCAACTAACGAGAAAATCGTGTACTTACCCTCGCATTCACACGCGAACTATCAAACACGTCCTGTGCCGCATGCTGATCAGGTAGTGCCATGTATGTGTTGTACAGTGCACTCTCAGTTGACATGCCCCCTTTCGAACCCAGACAATCTTTTCGGGATTGGTCTATTACAGTATTAGTTGGTATAATGTTCTGTGTGTGTGTGTGCGTGTGACTGTGTGAGTGTGTATGAGTATGCGTGTGTGCTTTAACTTTTTTCAAGCTTTTACAGGCGCGTAGCACTGGTGTTGGAGGTGGACGGGGGGGGGGGGGGGGACGTCTGGGTGATGTGCCTTGGGAATATTTTGAAATTAGGGTGCAAATCCTGCATTCTGGGCACTTTTGGCATTGTGTTAAAAAAGCCGAACCGGCTGCTACACCCCTGTTTTAAATACACCATTGCCTTGGTGATATCTTCACTGTCTGTAGATCTACAGGCACAAAACTGTCGGGCAAACCCTCTATGCCTCACACCCTCTATGCCTCACACATGTACATATCAGGACTCGAGTGCAACTGCAAAATGTTCCAGGTTCTAGAGGATTTGCACCTGAGCCCCTTGACAACACTGAGACGCAACACTATCTGGCACAAGTGTACCCACCAACCGAACTATCTGGCACACACACACACACACAAACACCACACACATGCACACACACACACACACATACACACACACACACACACACACACACACACACACACACACACACACCTGTACACTCAAATGGAGGTGAAGGCACATGCATGCACGCATACAACCCCAAGGCAGTTTCAACAGCACCGGTACAGACCGGGGCTGGTTCATGCTCAGTGCAATATCAGTTACGTAAACAACTATAATATACATGTACATAAGCAGACCAGCACCACAAAACCCCTATGAGAGAAATAATGGCATAAAAAAGCAATGACTTTGTCAATAATGATTTCAAAACATAATACGGTATAGAATAATTATATCAATTCTGCGAGAGATCAGTTCAAAAATGTTGAGCAGCTTGAATCAAATTCCTGAGCAGACGGCAGAGGCAGCTAGCTACAAAGGCACCAATCATAAAGTCATAATGCCAAGGTTATGCAGATAGTTCGGTGCTAGCTCATGGGCATCACAACACTGCAGTCGGCTATCTAGGCTTGTAAGTTACAAAAAAAGTAGAATGAGTTGGTCACTGCAGGAACAGTGCTTGTGTGGCAGAGCAGTACAACACGCACACACAGTTATTTATACTGAATCAGCTTGTTCCACTGTGGAAGCATGAGTGATCGTGTTATAGTATCCTTGTCTGGACCGTTGTCACAGCAGTTCTCCCAGCAGGCATAAGATCAGTATAGACAGGACTCCACTCTTGGGCTAAAGGAGACTAGTCACCTTGAACTTGCAATGGCATTCTACCATCACGGCAAGGACACTTCTGCTCGATGGCTAGCCCATGGAAAATACTTGGGCCTCCGCTGTGGTTGTGCTACAGACACATATCTCACAACTTTGTTCCCGATTGAACGGACCTTGGCTGATCTTACGAGTGCAACGATCACTATTCTCCTTTATTCTTCAGTCTCCGTTGCGCCCAGGGCATCAGCAGCCATAGCCTTCCGCTCCGCTTGTTTCTGTAGAAAGCCATATGAAAATTGACACCAGTTACGTCAAGCATTGGCAACATGAAGGCAATGGGCCACTGCGGCAAACGTAATATACAGGAAATACTGCGGGGAGAAGAGACTAATAGCAGGTAACAGGTAAGACTGTGCTTAAGATCCAGTGTAGCATGAATTCTGCTTACGAGTACATGTGCATGTACAGTCGAATGTCACTTATCCGGTCGCCAGTTATCCGAGCACGTCGGTTATCTGACAAGCCCGGGAGTGGTAATTTTATGACTCTCAACAGTAAAATTCTACTTCCTCCGCGTCATTAAAATTGTCGCTTCCCAGAGCGATTTTTCGAATTTATTTTGTCCACTCGAAGGGCAAAGAAATCAGCTAGAAATTGAGGCAGAGCATTGTCGACGGACCAAGCTTTAGTATGTGACACCCCCCCGCCCGCTTCGCTGCACTTGCAGCTATGGTCGACGTCTTCATCAGAGTTTGAGGCAGACTCTTCAGCACTCAACAATACGCTGAACTAGACGCATGGTCAAATTCAGGTCAAGAAACTTCGTTTTCAAGCGATCCATATCCCCATGCCTCCAGGTGGCAGGCGATCAAGGCAAGCTAGCATTTTTCAAGTACACTGTAACAACCTTCCAGCGGGACAGGGTAAGCAGTTTCGCACCTTCTTTCCTTGGCAAGCGCTTCGTCGATTTTGTTGGTGTTTTCAGACCTGCTACCTTCGCAGCAACATGCGCCACAAGTAGCGCATTCTAGGAATTTGAGACCGCTTTGTTCCTGCCATCGTCAACCTCAGCATTTCGTACTCAGGAAAGATTCCAGGATTCTTATACCTGAGCTTGCAGTCTTGATAAATGCCCACGCGAACGATGTGGGACGGCACGAACTCCAGAAAACCAAATGCGCTCTGCGGCGGAATAATGCGGAGCGCGATGAATTTGCTTGGTGCGGAAGAGCGCCCTTACAAAGTCCGAGACCACAACGGCTTCAGTGACAAGTAGACATTGCGCAGGAAAGGTCGCACCAGTATTCGAACACAGAAAACAGCGATTCCGACAGTCTGACTAAGACGAGCCTAGTCTCAAATATTGCGATGTGCGAAGCGACAATTTTAATGACGCGGAGGAAGTAAAAAAAACTTTTTTTGTATATTGTACGGTGTAATATGCATTTACTTGAAGTAGATGTGGTCAAGTATGCTAACATGTATGTGTACATGGAGCAATTCATGAATATGCATGAATATATTTGGGTATTGTGTGAAATCAGTGAAATCCAGCCATATATGCACATGAAAAATGATATCAGTTATCCAACATATCCAGTTATCCAACATGCCTGATTCCCGAAGTGGTCGGATAAGTGACATTCGACTGTACTCAAATGAACACTATACTACTGTTGTAGCGAGATGGACACACAGTTGAAATACCCCCGGTCAGGAAATACATGTAGACTGAAGGCAAGTTGCATCCGCTCAACGAGCAGCAGCATTGGAACAATGCCGTGCAAGCCTGTGCACGGCTATACATGTGGCGGTATTTTATTATCATACGAGTACTTGGCAGCTGGTGGATGTCCAGTAGCAGCAACACACAGTGTTGGTAACTGAAATCCGACCCCTGAGCAAAGACCCAACTCGGGATAGTAAAACTACGAAATAGAGACCGCTAGGATGTGAACGCATCGCAAGAGGGTCGGATTTCAGTTGCCAGCACTGTACTTCTGATGCTTATGACATGCGTGCACTTCGAAGAACAGATGATCAGGAATAGAATGCGAATGACACAAGATCACACGATAAAAAAGTAATTTATCGTGTCCGTTCCCGACGGGAACTCACAATGGCCGATAACACCCGGGAAACCCTAACAATTGTGTACATAAATACTGGGCATAAGCTCTGATATACTGACATGAACGAGAAGAGAACAGAAGCGAGCACTCACCTCCTCGGCTTCCTGCCGCTCATCATCCGTGAACGGATCCTTGTCAAGTCTCTCTAGTCGCCGTGCGTAGCTGAGCACCTCTATGCGATAGTCTTCGATTTCCTCAACACCACAACCTGAACAGGGCAAGGTCATGCCGTACATTGAGCCATGACAGTAGTACCGGCAAGTACACTACTGTCGGGTGTAGAAGAACTGGGGGGGGGGGGGGGGGGGGGGGTAGCCTCCTAGCCCAGATATCTCTTATTTTCATGTACTACAGTCTATGCACAGTTGAGTCACCGTGTATACATTGGTATGTTGTGCTTGGTGAAACTCTAGTCTGTTCGTTCTTCGGCATTTCGTTCTTCAGCACCCGAGAGTACTGTAGGCACTCCAAGTAGGTAAATGTAGATCATTACTAGTATGGAAAGAGAAACAAACGCCAGATCCACCAGGACTCGAACGAGGGACCTTTCTTGTCATGAGCAGTGCTCTAACCACTGAGCTATGGGACCAGGCTGAACTAAGAAGGCGCTGACAAGTTTTTCACCCCAAAGGCAGCTCACAACATGTGCAACACATACTGATGGCACTTGGGTCTTTTTCCCTCCCCCAGGGGACCAACCACGGTCAGTTTCTGGAACGTACTACCAGAAGTGAAAGAAAGTGATCAATTTTGAAAGGATTGGGAGAACTTCAAATTCAAAGTATCACGCGGCCCCGTGGTTGGTCTCCTGGGGGAGGGAAAAAGACCCAAGTGCCATTAGTATGTGTGGCACGTGTTGTGAGCTGCCTTTGGAGTGGAAAACTTGTCAGCGTCTTCTAGGTTCAGCCTGGTCCCATAGCTCAGTAGTTAGAGCACTGCTCATGACAAGCAAGTTCCGGGTTCGAGTCCTGGTGTGTCTGGCGTTTTTTTCTCTTCTCAGGCAGTTCCGGAGTCACTTCCCCGACTGATACTTTGAATTTGAAGTTCTCCCAATCCTTTCAAAATTACTAGTATGGACGGGAATTGTTTGTCTCAAATGTGATAGCAAGTGGATCACCAGGTCACGTCTTCACAGTAACCATCACATGACATGAGAACAAGCAGTGAATGTGTGCAGA